GTGAACTGCACCTCACGTCGCAGGAAGACAGAAGAGCTCGGGGAGACATGATCACCACATACACATGTAACGGTTAACAAAACAAATGATTGCCCTCAGGTAATTGTATACAGTAGGTGAGATAATGGCCAAAGCCGAAACGTCATTTCTTCATTTTCTGATGTGTGGTTTGGTCATACCTTCAGCAATGTTATTGTGACTCGTCGTCTGCAAAGGTCCCTATATTTGCCATGATAGTTTTATCGAGGTGGATTTTATAATTCAGCTGTGTTTTTTATATTTACTTTCGGCGGGTAGGCAGTTCCATGGGTTTAATAATTATTATTATACCGCTATGGGAAAAAAAGCATCTCCTGTTGTCTATCTTACATTGTGACTTGTTGAGCTTGAAACCGATGCTCCTTGTTTGTGTTACATCTGACCTTTTGAAAAAGTTGTCTACCAATATCCTCCAAATTATACAAAAAAAAAAAAAAAAATTGTTAGGTATTTTCAAAATTGTGATGAAATCGTCCCTGTAATTCGGTCTAACCGGTACGAATTTGCTGAATCCCATCACTGCACAGTTCTATAACTACATAATCCAGCAGGTAAATGTGGTTCAATGACCACTATTCTAAATACTGTATATTTCTGACGTCATATGATGGGCTAAAATGTTCGAAATTGAGATTCAGTTATGTGTTGGTTTGTTGACGTTGAAACGGACAAGTATTTGGACATAGAAATTATGTTTGCAATCGTGTCATAACTTGTCCATATAGCTTTATAGATGGGGTATGTGGCAGTGCCTGGGTCTGCCTATCTCTATTTTTTCCTTCCCTCTCGCTCTCGATCGAGAATCCAAAGCTCGAATCCCGGGCGGGACAAACTGTTTGGACACGTTTCCTATTACCTAATGCACCTGTTCACCTATACATTAAATAATTACCCAGGAGTCAAATGTTGTTTGGTTGCATCCTGGGGAAGAGTCAGTAGTTTGACCTAAGGCTGGAGACCTCGATACAGGATGCATGATGTCAGAAGGGTCGGAATCCCTGACGATTTTATTTAGGGGTTCCCAGTTGGCAAAATATGCTAGTTAAATCAACACTATCAATGTTGATTCAATAATACATAAATATCTTATGACTGGATTTACCCGAGGGAGTGCATGGCGATGTTTCCCATTTCGGCATTAGGTGCTAAGCCAGTTTGGCTATGTAACACCAAGTCAGGAAAATCGAGGTACTGTACTAATATATTACTCAAGATGCTGATGCAAACACACACAGAGTGGCCCTCAGGTAAAATAACTAAGGAATTATCAGAAGAGAAGAGTGCACTAGCCTGTGCATATAGCACTTGTATAATTTTTTAATATGACTTCATACGAGCATGTCATTGGACATATTTCGCCTAATGTTTGGAGATTCCCCATGCTTGCTCTATAATGTTCAGGTAGCCTTGGGTAAATTATTTTTCAAGCTTTTAACTTTGGTTTAATAAAGTTATGGATTTTAGCACCTTATATATTTAACTTCTTTCTATTCACTAACGTTTCTATTTTTATTTATATGTAGTCATGAAAAATAACTCAAATCCATGTTTCAGTTTTTCAGTATCTTCAATGAGAGGACTGAAACTGCTGGTTTCTTTCAAACACAAACTTTGCTTTATGCTTACACTTCCAAGCTCAATTTTTGTTAATAAAATACCATACAGTGAATGAAACCCAATAAACTATTTTGTAGAAACTCATTACAGTTAGCACATTTCCTGTTCCTGCTGAATCACAATACTGTATATGCAACAAGCTGTTAGGAATAATTTATCATATAGTGTTTCAATCTTGGATATTTTTACCAGCCACAATACTGACATACCAGGAATATGTAAACACTAGTTACTTATTTCATCACTCTGCAACTGCTCGAGGCCCTGCACATATTACGGGAACCATATATTTTTTTTTTGTCAGGAATGATTTTTAGTTAGGAAATATTTAAGAAAAGACTGTGAAATAACTTTTATATATTTCCAAACTGATAGTTCATTTACCACAAACAGATCAAGCCAAAGACAATCTTAGATGAACACTTTTTGAACATGAAAAATATGAATGAATGTCACAATGTGTCAGAACAAAATTAACAAAATGCAAAATACTGTACTAAAATATTAGGAAAACAGGTTTTTTTTTTTTTACAGAGAGCAGTTAGAATGAAGAAGCTTATGCCTCCAAAATACCTAACTAATGTATGATTTGCTGCACAGGTGACATGAATGAAGGAACATAGTGCATGTGAGACTTCACATGAATTTGTGGTTTGGGGAAATATGTAAGAAAATAATGTAATACTACCACATAAAAATACGAGTTGAAATGATAATAAATGATCATAGTATAGTACAGTCAAAGTGGTAGTGTGTAAATAACCAAAGATACGACTTGTTTTGGTCAGAAATTAAACGAGTATAGAAATGAAATTTAAGGCAGGCATTTTTGCTTTTAAGGAAGTACTATTGTGTTGTGGAGCTGCTTGAAGGAGCATGTGGATGTATAAGACAAGTTAGGACTGCGATGGTGGGGAAATTAATACATTTATAAAACAAAAGTGCTACACAGCACCAGGGTAAAACTGATAGCACAACTCAAAAGTGCAAAAATTGCACTTGAAGTGTAAAAAATATCAGAAACTTAAGAATATTGGTATTGAATGTAATGTACATGTTTAAGTGTGCATTCATGTTCATGAGCATCTACACGTGTATATATAGAAGGATAAATCCAATTGTGTATGATAATTATGTAGCACAGCCAATTAGTGTGATTATTGAATAACTAAAACAATGTTGTTATTTTCTGAAATAGTGGATTTACATAACTACAAGTTCACAAAGCTTTTTTTTTATAAATAATCTAATACAGTAAATAAATATGCAATATTAATGGATGGTCTTAGTTAGCACTGAAAAGGCTAAAAAAAGGCAAACTTTGTGACCTGTTACATGGCATATCAATCCCACTAACAATTAATACAACTAGTTTTCCATATCCAGAGTTACCCAAACATAATATTCAATAGTTGTTTCTAGTGTTTTTTGTCACTACTACCAATAATTTTTGGTTTAAAGTTACTGTTCATGATATTTAATGAAATAGCTGTACCCAAACTACCAAACCACACTTTTTACAGCTTAACTGAATTTACAGAAACAATCCTCAAGAACAACTTACAGAATGTTTTCCTATATAAATATCTCACTGCCTGAAATATTCCCTAGCAGATGATGATATACATTTAAACTACTGTAGTCAACACGTGTCCTTTAATATTTGAGCTTTTTAGTTATAGGTCAAGTTACATAATTTGTTACTAATTTCAACTATGGTACCTGAAGCCATTGTTGAAACAGTCACAGGCATTTTATACTGTCAAAGGAATTCTTGGGAGCAGAATGTTTACTAATAAATGTCACTCAACTTTTTTTTTTTTGTACAAAGCAACATACATCATCAGTATTTAAATAATCAAAATATATTACTTTAAATAAATTGAGTACAAGTCAATTCAACATATTTATTATAACTCAAGTAACTATCCCAATTTAAATAGGGAGTATCTCAGTACTTATGAGGCACACTGGCAAACTTCACCAAGGCTGATAGTAGCACTGACCCTTCACTGGTATAGCTATAATGTCAACTACACTCCACCAATTAAGAGCCTGGAAATATGAGAGGGTAGAGCAAACAGATTTGATAAAAGGCTAATACACTACAGTTTCCCCCCAGTGTTAGTTTGGCTGGCATGCCTCAACTGTTTCCTAGAATATACCACAAAATTATTCAACACACAAAAAAATATATGTGTATATATATATATATATATTTATATATATTTGTATATGAAGCTTAAAAGGAGGCAGAAATACACACAATCATCTTGTAAAGTTCTTTATCCTTTACTATTAAAAAATATCCATGATATAAACTAACCACAGACATTTGGGAAGGACTTAACATGAGAACAATGCTGAATGCACAACTTCCTTGACTACCCATTTAAGATTCCAAGAGCATTCATTCAACACCACTTTCATGTTGAGACCCACTATTTTATGAGGGACGGAAAAACTCAGAATACCAGTTCTGCTTCCATAAATCTATAGTAATTGGCTATACAAAGCCTCGAGAAACTTGCTAGTGAGAACACCAGGAGCATTTTATTGCAGTCTCTAATAATGAATGCTCTGTTCCTTTCACATGCTCTAATTTAATTTTACTGTCACTGTGCATTCATCAACTCATAAATGGAAATGCACGAAAGAAGGTATAGTATTTACCATTGTTCGCATAATTCAAATTTGTTCTCATAACCCCGTCACTAACTGGAGTGAAAATGCCCATTTTGTCATGCTCAACTTATTTTGGCATCAGATTCACTCCAAGTTACTAATATAAGCAGTAAGTTAAGCATGACTGAAGGGTGTATTTGTTAATAAACTCTGCTTAACAACCCATTCTAAGTCTATGCTGTATGGGCCGAGTCCTCAGACATCATTATGTACAGTAAAATGAGGCTAATATTTCAAAAGAATGAGTTATTTCACACTGCTACAGAATGCCTTTAATATATATTGAAGCCCTTCTGCAACAGCAAATATAGTCTAAGACAGAGTATCCAATCTGACATAGCAATCTAACAAAACACAATTAACTTGTTATTTTACGTCTAATAGCAAAGATTCAATAATAAACTTAATGACTATTAACATGTTGATGCAGACGAGTAACACAACCAAGCACGCGCACACTCCAAGAGTGAGGAAGAATGGGAGGGGATAGAATGAAAGAGGGAGACTGGGAGAGAAGGAGGGGATGATGTACACACATTGAGACACACAGACCCGGGCACTGATGGGTATCCCATATAATGCATGGGTGTATATGTTTAAACACACACACACTATATTATATATATATATAATTGTTGCTGATGTGTAACTTCAACATTTATTTGTCCAGCACTCATATGAAAGCCAAAGAATTCTTACTATCAAAACATATGACAAATAAGAACAAAATATAACTGAAGAGAAGTATGATGAAAATGTAATAAGTGTCATGCAAGTGAAGTTATATTACTGACTGGCTCGCTGAATCAACACCTCAGACCCACGTTCCTATTTATTATTTTGTTCTTTAATATACTATACTGTAGTATGCTTGATTTGTTCATAAGAAAAATTTTTAATTAAATTTTTAATTAATTTTTTGCTTCACAGAAATTTGCTGACATTAGCACCTTAGTAGTATACATACATACACACACACATATACACACACACAGTGAGAGAAAGGCTGCAGGAATGCACAAGCCATAAATCACTAAGAACTCTAAATGACCCGACCAGGATTTGAACCCATGACATCAAAGATCACTCCCAAACGTACACAGTACCGTGACCACCGCACCAGCGATCATCTTTCATCTATCCTTCAGATGATCAACGGTGTGGTGGCAACTGTACTGTGCACGTTTGAGGGGTGATTCTAGATGTCATGGGTTCGAATCCTGGTTGGGTCATTTAGAGTTCTTGGTGATTATAATATATATAATTATTCACTTATTTATTTTTAGGTGGACAATTTCCCACATTAACAGTCGGGACACTCCTCTTCAATTCCAAACTATAAGAATTATGGAATATTTATTAAAAGCTTATATTGTAAAAGTAAATGTTAAAACAGTTTATAAAGCCTATGTAGCCAGAATTGTGATGATATGTAGCATGCTTAGTTATAAGAGAAAATTCAGTAGCCATTCATATTTACTCCATCAAAAAGAAAAGAAAGAAAAAAGAAGAGATGTAACAAAATTAAAACAAAATGGAATGAACTTAATCCAATCTTTGGCATGAAATTTGTTTTACTTTTTTTTTTTTTTACACAAATTATTACTCAAAATACAAACAAGATTAATCATTTTTCAAACACTGTACTGTGCCAATCTTCTTTCATAATGTAATTTGGCCTAATGAGTTGCATGAAGAAAAATTGGGGATTAAATTTACATTTACTGTACTAATTTGAATGATAGAAAAATTACTATTATGATGACCAAGCCACACACCAGAAGATGAGGAGACGACAATGTTCTGTTCCGTCCTCGCCCATCATCACAATTGACTTGATAATGGTCCAGGACGGAACAAAACGTCGTCGTCATCTTGTGGTTCAGTCATCATATTTTCAGCCACGTTATTGTGCATCGTCGTCTGCAAAATTACACGTACTATTTGTTAAAAGCCTTGTTACATACTTCTTGGGTGCCAAGAGATGAACCCTTTTACAGTACTGTGGAAGTAGTGTGGCAAGCTGGGTACAAGAGAGATACAAAATGCTGCTGGGCAAAGTAGTGTAAGTGAGGCTGCAACAACAATTAAGAAATTGATAACAGAAAACGAAAGCACTACACAGAATATACTGTGCAAGGAGACATTTAACTTTTATGAAATTAGACAATACATTCTTCAGTAGTATTGTAATCATAAATCATTGAAGTACCTGCTAATATCATTAAGCCTTTTGTCTATCAAATAAACAAACTTGCTAAATATTACTTATCAATCCCATGAAGCAAATTTACTTCTTAAGACAACTGAAGTTCTGTCTAATTAAAGTGTAAGGAGTTGACATGTGAAACAGCCTCATAAATGCATTTGCTGTATGTCTACGGTATGAGAATGCATTCATGGCAATAATTATAAAAGTGTATGTCAAGATTTATGAGCCATGTATGGTGTGAGAGAAGGGCTCCTAATAGGAATAGGGATTCCCTAACTACATTAATTTTTGAAATAGTAACTGTCACGTCCTTCTACTCAACAGGATGCTCCAGGCATAATTTGCTCTACACAGCATAGATAAATCACATCTTATACCAACCTTGATTGATCCTCAATTTATGTGCTTCTTAAATTTTCAACATGAGGAAATCTCTTGTGTTATAAATAATTAACAAAATATAATGTACAGTACTAGGAATGATCAGTGACACACTCCTCATGTTTGTGGTTAACTTCATCACAGAAAGATCCCAAACACTTTTTAAGTGGATCATGTCAATATGTGACTGCCCAGCTGACAACACAATGCACAGATAAACATTTTCAGAATTATTTGTTTACTGTACAATTGATGCAAGAGTTCAATGCACCTGTTGCTACCTGTCTTTAGTGATAATGTTCGTAATGTCATAGTTAACTATATATATATTCACAAAGATTATTTATATAGTTGTCATACACAAAAAATATATTAACACGACATTAAACTGTATTGCAGACCTCTGATACCACGGGAAGTATCACATCTTGGTGAACATTTCTGTGCAAAATTAATTTTTTGTGCAAAATTAATTTTTTGTATAAAATATACTAAATAAAAATTAATATGAAACTAAATTGTAAAAAAAAAAAAAAAAAAAAAAAAATTAAGAGGACCTCTAATGAAAGTGAAAGGATTCATTAGAGCACACTGAATCTGGTCTGCTTAGTTATAAGAAGTCAAGGTGAGATTATTGAAGAATTCCCAGATGTAGACAGTGTGAATGTGTAATTACACACAGAGTCAAAATCAGGAAATTCCTCAATAATCTCTCGCCTTGACTTCTTAGGTGTGTGAACGTAAAGATGATTTTAATGAGCTCACGTATATAAAAGAACTAGTTTCATGGAAACCAACACAAATGGCTAGTAAAGACTATATTATAATTTCTGACCCTCTTCAAACATTATTTCCTTGGCCCAACAGCCCAACTTTATGGGCACAAATTTTACATTATTCATCACAGATGTTATGTAATGTTGGGATTTAGGGCTGTGTCAGGCACGGGGACCAGATGGGTTAAGCAACACTATTGTGTGTGCATGTGAAGCGCGCATGTCATGCACTGCATCAAGGTAATGGCAGATATCATACATTCTTATTTTCCCAATTTATTACATTTCTTGTTTAGCTACTCATACTATATATTCTCTAAGCGGAAAACATTTAATTTGCCATTTGAGACAAATTAGACACTGTTTTTTTAGAGAGACTTACTTTCTACTGAAACAGTACTGCATACGTATACAATCAGTTTATTTTGCCATTATATTTGTTAAAGTGACCAAGATACTTGGGTAAGATTTCTGTAGTCAACTGCAGAAATTATGTGCATCAGATATTATGCAGTGCACACACCACTCAATTTCCTTCACTTACATTTTTCTTAAGAAGAAAACAAGAGAAAATGTTTGCTACTGTTAAAGCATCCTGCACATTTGTTCAGTTATCATATACACAAAGACACTGCATAAATTTTGCAATATGAAATGAAGGAAAGCATAGAAGCACTGCCACAACATTCAAGGAGAGAAGCAAACTTAATAAAGAAAAAAGTAATAGAAACCATAAATATTTAATGACAACATCTAGAGATATATTACCATGGTTAAAATAGCACTCCTTCAATAAAAGTGCAGCAGTGCTTCAGAAAGCAAAAGCAGCTGGCTCACACATGCTCCATGCACATGCCTAAACAGGACAGGATTAGGGCACAAGCTTTATACAGACTAAAATGAACATCACAAAACAGATAAGCAAAATTACAAGAAAACAAAACTTTTTGATCTGTTAGAGTGAGCCGATCTACATTCTTGGAACACTAGTAAATTATATCAAATTAAATACATAAAAATTTAACAGTAAGTATCTATTACCTGTATTCTTAACCATTTTGAAAGTTTCTAAGTTCCATCAGTGTAACAACTCTTGAAATTTGAAAGCAAAATAGCTTATCAATGAACACCATAAAATAATTTTTCTCTATACTGTAGTTCAGAATAAAACATTGAGAAATTGGCAACTCACATTATTGTCTCTACTGAGCTTGCACAAATAAAGTGTGTGATTAGCTCCCATATACTGGGTAAAAAAATGAGAAAGACCGAGATGCTTAATATGCTGTGATAACTCGACTCACACTGTGTTTTAGACTGATACCATTCTGGCTCCAGAAGGCAACAGCTAAACAAGCGAGGTAGTACATTCATACAAGTCTTCATACCATGAAGACCTGGGTGATGCACATAATACCTGTGTTAGAATATGCATTAATAAAATATTTTAAACTTTCAATAAAACAAATATATTTAACAAATGATATTAAATATTACAATTCCCAATCCAGTTGATACCATTTCATTTTCACCGTTCTGTTTAAGAAGTACTGGGATATGGGAGGTATGAAATAAACGTTAAAATGCTTGGAAGACCAATTCTGCCCCTCCCTATCCTCTGTCTCCTGTCCCTCACGCTCGCTCACTCTCTCTTTATAGTGCCTAGAGTCTAGCTGATCCCCCCCCCTAACTTATATAATTCCTGCTGCAGAAACCCATAATCTTTCCTTAAATACTTGCCATCTAACTCCACTGCATTGTCCTCCTCCTCATTAGTTTTGATGACATCTGAAGGTCATTATTAAAACAATTACAGTACTATGACACGAGGCACCGACTTTAGCCCATGCCGCAAGCGTAGAGTGACCACGACAAGGAAGTGAAACTACAAAATGTACTACTAAGGAAGCAGGCAAAATATACAAGATAACTATAGCTTCATCACAAAGCATGTTATAAATATTAACAAAGGTATACATATTAACAAGTGCAGGACCATCATAAAGAAATAATAATGATACATCAACAACTATTGGCGACTCGATGACGGTTGACTACGTGACAATGGGCATGCTCTGTTCAGCATACACCAACTGGTTTTAGCTTACAGAACACGGTAGTGTACAGGGATGCCAGATTGGGCTACTAGATTGGGCAATTGGCTTGCCAATTAGGATAATTGCATTCAATTAAAAAGCCAGCTATGTATGTCGCTACTTACTACTTTTTCAACGACAGTTAAAATAAGCTGGGTCGTTTATTCTGAAAAGCGAATCAACCGGGAAAAAAATATTTGGCTACTTTTATTGTAAAGTTTGTGACATTTAGTTCTTCAGCTCGCGACTTTTGGCAACTCAAATCCGGCACCCCTGGTTGTGTAGGTTGAGAGCAGTATCTCGGCTCTTATTCAATCACTTGTTCATTTAGTTAAATATGTTAATGACAAACCATCAGCTTGGACATTGCAAGTAAGCAATTTTAAACATATAACTGTATAATCCAGTTCTCACATAAAATTTCCGTGCTCCATTAAAAAGTTAAGGATTGTCAGTGACAATGACTAAATTTGTAACTTTTATATACTAAATTTGTAAAATATATTCAAAGAATAATGTAATTCAGAAATGACCTTAAAGCAGCATTTTTAACTAGCCACTGACTACATCACAGCTTAAAAAATTTCTCCCATAATCCAAAGTTGAACGTAAGGCAGACAGTGTCAAGTATATTATCATTACTTTTCATAATGCAAACAAATATGATAAGATAAATAATTCTTGGCTTTTGAGCCGAGACTAACATGAAAACTTTCAATCTCTACATAACTGCTAATGTTGCTTGACAAGACTGCAGAATAACAGGTAAAACACGTGCAACATGCACACTGATCTCCTACTTCAATAAACGTGGCTAACAACACCTTACTATTCAAAAAAAAAAAAAATAATAATAATCAGTGTATTCATAACCCAAAGACACACTGAAGACATATTTGTTATTAGCTGCTATGTCAATGACAGTTACTCTGTACAGTCTTCAAACACTTAAAAATGCATTTTGATTTTTCAAAAATTTCCACAGGCTTACTATGTGCTGCTTAATATTTGTATGGTGCATGAAGCTCTGTACACATCTCTTCTGTGTTTCTCCGTTTATCACTGGCTGTGCTTGTTCTGCCTGACTTGCCACTGGCTGTGCTTGTTCTGCCTGACTTGCCACTGGCTGTGCTTGTTCTGCCTGACTTGCCACTGGCTGTGCTTGTTCTGCCTGACTTGCCACTGGCTGTGCTTGTTCTATGTGACTTGCCACTGGCTGTGCTTGTTCTGCCTGACTTGCCACTGGCTGTGCTTGTTCTGCCTGACTTGCCACTGGCTGTGCTTGTTCTGCCTGACTTGCCACTGGCTGTGCTTGTTCTGCCTGACTTGCCACTGGCTGCACTTGTTCTGCCTGACTTGCCACTGGCTGTGCTTGTTCTGCCTGACTTGCCACTGGCTGTGCTTGTTCTGTCTGACTTGCCACTGGCTGTGCTTGTTCTGCCTGACTTGCCACTGGCTGCACTTGTTCTGTCTGACTTGCCACTGGCTGCACTTGTTCTGCCTGACTTGCCACTGGCTGTGCTTGTTCTGGTTCTGCCTGACTTGCCACTGGCTGTGCTTGTTCTGTCTGACTTGCCACTGGCTGCACTTGTTCTGCCTGACTTGCCACTGGCTGCACTTGTTCTGCCTGACTTGCCACTGGCTGCACTTGTTCTGCCTGACTTGCCACTGGCTGCACTTGTTCTGCCTGACTTGCCACTGGCTGCACTTGTTCTGCCTGACTTGCCACTGGCTGCACTTGTTCTGCCTGACTTGCCACTGGCTGCACTTGTTCTGCCTGACTTGCCACTGGCTGCACTTGTTCTGCCTGACTTGCCACTGGCTGCACTTGTTCTGCCTGACTTGCCACTGGCTGCACTTGTTCTGCCTGACTTGCCACTGGCTGCACTTGTTCTGCCTGACTTGCCATTGGCTGTGCTTGTTTTGCCTGACTTGCCACTGGCTGTGCTTGCATGTCAGCTCTAATGACTGCTTATTACAAACTTCATATCATGCCAACATTGTGAGCATATACTATATCATTAATTCTAAAAAAATGTTTACACTAATATAAAAAAATGGTAATGTACTTATTGTACTTATGACAAAACTGAAAAAAAATAGCTTTAAGAGTTGTAATGGCAGTTGGTAGCCTCAGAGAATCTAGGAACCCTTCCATTCAGAGATTGCAGAATAATTTTCCCCCACCCCATAGAGTATTTTGAAACATTGATGCAAGTTGTATTTAAATCTTGTGTGTAAGGTGAACAATACATGACCAAAGGTTACCTGTGTTTCCTGGATAATGATTATAAGCTACCTACAATGGGGCATTATGTACACTAGCTATGAGCCCTGTTGATTTTAAATAAAGCTACAACGTACTTTACATTAGAATCTATAAATGTTGATAATTACCTGCCTCAGCAGCTTTAGAAACTAAACAGAATCTAGCACTTATACAGTAAATTCTATCATTTAAATATGACTTATGGTATAAACCAAACTAGAGCTACCAATAGGTAGAAAAGATGAATTGTCTTTTGCATAATATAAACATTTCCTTCAGCAAGTTAGCCATTAAGAAGAACTCCAACAGGGAAAAGAAGCAGAGAATCGAGTTAGTGAGATGGTGGCTTGAAGACATACACAGCGAAAGGTGGAGAGATACCGCAGGAGCCCTCATTACTATGACAAGGGACACAGCACCCACTCACAGGAACGGATTGTAGGATGATCCACTGGAAGGCATTTGTGGGGTGGCCTGCAATATAAAGAACACAATTCGGTTAAGACACCAACCATACTACTCCTGCCGTGCCTTGCTAACAAGTACCAAGGAAATCCCAAATATTTCCCAATAACAATTAAATCTCTATACCTCTATTTCTACTAATTCCACCATACTGATAGTCATCACACACACACCACTTCCTGACCTTTGGAGTTAATCTTCACAATGCTGAAATGGATTAGAACCAGAGGAATCCGATCACCACATACATAGTTGGAGTCATAGGCGAAACACAGGAACTAGATTGTTTCTCACCATATTTAATTTTGTTGCTAGCAGTTCCATGAAGATGAGGGATTGTTGATTCTTTGCTGATAACTAAAAAATAACTTGGAAAACACTGTATGAACAATCAAACCCACATTCCAGACTTCGTAGGACTCATTGGGTTGTCGCAATAGAGGCCAATCTTATGTATAGAATGGCACGTGGTCAACCCCAGCTACTCTATGACACTCACCATACAATCACAGATCACCTTGCAAAGTTTAGTGATGCTAGACCCAAGTGTTTGGTCACCAACCCCGAAGACAGATTCTCTCCTACAGATAGATTAATTTGAATGCAAAATGTACAGAAAAATGGAATATCTGAAACTGAATACAGTATCTACATTTTACCTGGTTTTGATGGCTGGGAGTATCCAGGTCGCTAGGTTAACTCACCTAATAACACTCTATACTATAACACTCAATTAGCTCAATCAATTTTCTCTTTGATTTACAATGTTAACATAATTTATGGAAAAATTCCTCAATCTTTCACTTTCAATTTAAATGAAACCTCCATTCATACCAAGAACAAAGAAAGTGACCTTTATAACCTAGTGAAATGGGATAATTGATTCCAGAATACAAGACAAATCTCACCATAAATGGGTTAGCTGTTCCATTACTAGTCATCCACTGCATTTTTGTGTTTTGTGGGTGCTGGTTGAAATTGGCCCATGCGCCATTGGTAGCTGATGAAGTTCCATTTAGTTGGGCACTGCTGCCAAATTGATTGAAGTTTGGGTCAGGTGCTGAAAGAAACATGACGTGTGAGACATTTCTGATCCCGACTGCCAACTGTAATAACTATAATATTTTTTTTATACAATAGCTTCAATATCAACAGTATCTACAAAGATCTATTACTATATTCTACACAGATTCAGGATTAGATTAACAACAATAGTTCTACAAAGACAATGATTACAACAGGCTGCCAACAACGTGTAGGAAGCAGAAAGTCTGCTTCACCCTCCACCTGGAAGTGCAGAGCATGAGAGATGAGCAGTGCTGGGTCCTGCTTCACTGGTGAACCTCTAATGTTTATACCACTCTCTCATGCAGTGACTTGCATAATTTCTGTCAGGTGTTCATGGGCTCCAACAATGCTAAACTGCTGCTCTATCCCAGTTTCTAATCCACATGAAGCAATAGCCAAATGTACAATACAGTGTGTATGTATATGTGGGTGTGTATATATATAATGTGTATTATATATATATATGTGTATTATATATATATAATGTATATATATATATATATATATATATATATATATATATATATATATATATATATATATATATATGTCGTACCTAGTAGCCAGAATGCACTTCTCAGCCTACTATGCAAGGCCCGATTTGCCTAATAAACCAAGTTTTCCTGAATTAATATATTTTCTCTAATTTTTTTCTTATGAAATGATAAAGCTACCCATTTCATTATGTATGAGGTCAATTTTTTTTTATTGGAGTTAAAATTAACGTAGATATATGACCGAACCTAACCAACCCTACCTAACCTAACCTAACCTGTCTTTATAGGTTAGGTTAGGTTAGGTAGCGGAAAAAGTTACGTTAGGTTAGGTTAGGTAGGTTAGGTAGTCGAGAAAAAATTAATTCATGAAAACTTGGCTTATTAGGCAAATTGGGCCTTGCATAGTAGGCTGAGAAGTGCGTTCTGGCTACTAGGTACGACATATATATATATATATATATATATATACACATATACACACATATATATATATATATATATACACATATACACATATATATATATATATATATATATATATATATATATATATATATATATATATATATATATATATATATATATATATATATATATATATATACACACACACACACACATACACATATGTTGTGACTAATAGCCAGAACTGCTCCACTTGGCCTAGTATTTAAAGTCCAATTTGCCTAGCAGGCAGAATGATTGTTATTTTAAATTATTTTTCAGATTGGTTCTTTTCTACCAGTAATAATCTATTATATTAGGAACATGAATTACTGACTTAATTATGTTAAGATAGGTTAGGTTTGATCAAATTTGTTAGTTTTGAATCAAAGTTAAAAAAAAAAATCATATGTAATAGAAAGCTGTATCATTCCATAAGAAAAATATTCGAAAAATATAATATTTCATGAAAATTTGGCATCTTAAGCAACTTGGCCTATAAGGTACAATTATTATTTTTATAGGTATACTAATTATAATTAATATACCTATAGACACACAGACACACATGGTACAATAAGGCAAACCAACAAAATCACTAGAGAGATGAAAGTAAAGAACAAGGAGAGAGGGAATATGTTCCTGAAAATTGTATATACTAACATAGATAAAAAAAATAATGAAGCTAAATGATATAATACAGCTGAAGACACCAGACATTACTGCACTAACAGAGATGAAACTTGAAGATACAGTATCATAAATGAGGTGGTATTCCCGAGGGGCTACTCAATTTGGAGACGGGACAGAAACATTAGCAAAGGTGGAGGCATTGCTATGCCGGTGAAAAAACACCTAAAGGTCAATGAATTAACGACTGCCAACCCACGACAAGTTCACATAATGCCACTGGAGATTTGTAATCAGGATGATAAAGTGAAAATCATAAATGCCTATAGTCCACTAACATGCAACACACAGACAAAGGAGGAGCTGGAGAACAAATAAGAAGGCTTCATAACAATCATGAGATATATTATAATAAGAGTGGACAAAGAAAGATTGTGACTGTTAGTACTTGGTGACTTCAACTTTAAATCCATAGACTGGGAAAGGCCTACAAAGCAAGAACAGAGGACTTTTGGACTGGTTTTGTGAAGTTTTGTGACATATATATGGTAAAAGAGCAAAAAAATTATACCAAAATAGAGATGCACAACTAGGAAACAAGATTGGTTCAAGAGTAATTGCGAGAGGGCTAGAGACCAAAAGATACAAAAAGGAATAAATATAGGAAGAGGCCAAACCCTCAAACATATCAGCACTACAAATATGCAAGAAACAACTACACAGATGTGAGAAGAGACAGGTAGAAAGGAATTGAGAAAGGGATTCCAGACAAATGCAAAACAGAACCATCTTGAGGTTATCTTGAGATGATTTCGGGGCTTTAGTGTCCCCGCGGCCCGGTCCTCGACCAGGCCTCCACCCCCAGAAAGCAGCCCGTGACAGCTGACTAACTCCCAGGTACCTATTTACTGCTAGGTAACAGGGGCATTCAGGGTGAAAGAAACTTTGCCCATTTGTTTCTGCCTCGTGCGGGAATCGAACCCGCGCCACAGAATTACGAGTCCTGCGCGCTATCCACCAGGCTACGAGGCCCCCCAGGCCTATTCTATAAATTCATTCAAAGCCAATTGCAGGTAAAGGATAAAATTAAGAGGTTGAAAATAGGAAACAGATTCACAGAAAATAAAAAGGAAATATGTGAAACATAAAATGAAAAGTGGCAAAGTGTGTTTCTGCAAAATGAAATTTTTAGAGAACCAGACAATAAGATTTCCAATGAATACCAGAACACACAGCGGTGTCTTAGAGATGAAGTGGGAAAAATGGTCAAGGGGCTAAGTAGGAATTGAGTACGTTCTGAGAGGCTGCACATCTGCACTCAGCATACTATTTCAATAAATTTTTCAGCTATTTCTGTGTACAGGAGTCCTGGCAGATATTTAGAAAAAGGCTAGCATAGTTCCAGTCTACAAAAGTAGAAACAGGGTAGAACCTCTTAATTATAGACCTGAATAATTACCAAGATAATAGTCAAAATATTGGAAAAATAATTAAAACCAAATGGGTAAAACACATGGAGAAAAATTATGAAACAGACAGGCAGTATGGTTCTCACTTTGGAAGATCCTGTATTACAAATCAACTTAGTTTCTATGATAAAGCCACGGAGATTTTACAGGAAAGAGATGGTTGGATTGACTGCATTTATCTGAACCTAAAAAAAGGCTTTTGACAGTCCCATATAAGAGGTTGGTCTGAAGACTGGAACATACTGGAGGAGTGACAGGAAAGAAATTTGCATGGATGAAAAATTTTCTGACAAATATAAGGGCTGTAATCAGAGGCAATGTATCAGACTGAAGAAATGTCATGAGTAGAGTACCACAGCATTCAGATATTCCACCTGTAATGTTCATTGTCTAAATAAACGACTTGCCAGAGGGGGAATACCGAATTATATGAATATATTTGGTGATGATGCTAAGAAAATAGGGAAGAAAAGAAACCTAGATGATTGTCATGCCCTTCAAGAAGACCAGAACAAAATAAGTGTATGGAGCATACTTGGAAAACGGATTTTATTGTGAATATAAAGGCCATGTTAAGGCATGTTGAATAAGAGAAAATAAACCACACACAACCTACACATTAAGTGAAAAAGCATTAAAAATTCTGATCAAGAAAGAGATGTAGGGATGGTTCTAGACAGAAAACAGTCACCAGATGACCACAAAAAGAACATTGCACGAGTTTAATATATGGATGGTGAAATATTAAAGAAATTGTTCACGACCTTTGTGAGACCAAACTTGGAATGTGCAGCTGTTGTATGGTGCCCATATCTTAAGAAGTCCATCAACAAACTGGAAAAGGTGCAAAAACCTGCAACTAAATGGCTTCTGGAACTGAAAGACAAGAGCTATGAGCAAAGTTTTGAGGCATTAAATATCCCAAAACTAGATGATAGAAGAAAAGAGGCAATATGATCACTATGAACAAAATAGTAATGAGAATCAACAAAATTGACAAGGAAGAATTCATGAGACCAGGAACTTCAAGAACAAGAAGTCATAGATTTAAGCTAACTAAAGAAAGCTGCCGAAGAAATATACAAAAATTCACTTTCGCACACATAGTGGTAGACGGTAGGATCAAATGAGGTGGTGGTAGAGGCCAAAACCATCAGTACTGTCAAAGCCTTATAATGACAGTATGTGCTGAGAAGATGGGACACACTGAACAAAGCTCTCATCCTGTAACTACACTTGGGTAGTTACATACATATACATACATACATACATAGATGAACACATGCTTTCAGGACACTATTTATCCAGGTAGTCCTGTTATTTATTTAGGCTTTGTCTGAACAATAATGTGCAATAAAGTGGTGAGGCTAACATGCACCATGCCTTACTGCCATGGTGTGATTGGCTAAGGCTTTCAAAGAGCAGTTTTTGAGGCTTTCTTGATATTGTTTAATCTATAATTCAATATTCTTTTGAGGCCAATAATAAAATGAAAAGTGCACAAGGACGTGATAATGTGCACATAACGGGACGTGAAAAGTGACAAGGTGCACATAAAATGAAAAGTACTACAAGGACCCAAGTCATGACCCATCACGTATAATGAACATGAACAATATACACCACTGTAACCTTCTCTACATACCAACATACCAATACATTATGAAAAATAACCTATACTTACCCCACATCCTGTATAAAGCTGCAAAGAATGTAATAAAAAACATTTAGATATTACATTATTAATTTATGTTAAGACAAACTATCAATCTATAAAACAAACATTACATTTCCTATTGCAAGTTAGTGGCATTTATTCCACACACACACACACACACACACATGATGGACATTGCTTGTAGAATTTTTCTGCAAAGAGTTAGTGTTGCTGATTGTTAAGTTTGCAAACTAAAAAGCCAATGGGAGGAGCAGAGGGGGTGCCCTTTACCCACTTTGCTTGTCCAAATGTACCTTGCACAGCCACTGCTAAGTGGTCTGCTGAGGAAAGAGTGGAGTTATATCATAAGAAGTGCACGAGTTTGAGTGAGCATAAGCACGAATATAGCAACTGTGATATTAGAAACTGTTCAGTATTAGCTGTATACTAAATATGGACAAACATAGTATATCTCCCAAGTACATTTTTTTTTAGTAATGGATTATGACTATGATACCCCTTAAGAATTGTACTGGAAAGCTTAGAGGCAACCTGTTTCTGATGTTGATAATATTAAAACATTGTAATATAACCAGGAAACATGAAAGGTTTATCAATTAATTAACTCACTTGTTCCAAAGGGGTTGGGTTGGACGACAGAACCAAATCCCTGCTGAGTGTGTGTCGTGGACCCCATAGAACTTCCATTCATCCAGGCAGACCCGTTATTACATCCTGCTGAAATATAGTGGAAATTTGAAAAATAGCTCTATCGTTCTACTTTATGCCATTCACAATAGAAATGCAAGAACACAGGAAACCATTTTTAAATTGCTATTAAGTTTTCTATGCTCCTACTCCCACTATGCAGCTGAAAAACTGTGATACAGTACTTATTAGCATAAATTAACACATATACAGTACTACATTTGCCAACTTCTTCTGATACTTGTTTTCGTATATGACATCTTCTTGGAGATATTTTCTTCTTTTAAATGACGTTTAAAACCCTGAATTAACATGCAAAGTATTACTCTAAAGTCTACATAATGGTTTGGCCACTACAAAGTGTCCAGCACTTACTGTAGAAATTTTAGGGAGGATGAGGATTGTATGTATGCCTTAATAAATCTGATTGATAATAGCAAAGGGTATAATATTGACTATACAACATTCATAGTGTTTACAGCAACAAAAGATATTATAAATTGGTGTGTATACTTATGACTTCTTTATTGTTTATGTGCATGTTTGTTTAGTATGCATGTAATAATTATCTACTTGTAGTTATATGGAAAGCTGTCAAATGCAGTTAGAAAACTTAGCACTTTGGCACATGCAACTTTCCTCTGAAGACTGATGCATCTTGCAGTAATTCCTTGTAACTATTACCGAATAAAATATAACCTGACATTCTTTCTATGTCCGTGTTTCTCGATCTTGTAACTACATCCTCTCATACCGTATGGAGCAAGCAATATGAAGTGATGCCTGGCATAAAGACAAAGAACTGAACTGATAAAAATCTAGTGTCACTTTACCGGGCTCCTACATCTGATCAGCAAGTGTCCAGTAATACATCTGACAAGCAGGTACAGAGTAGTCTAAACAGAGATTCTCCTTGCCTCCTTCAGTCAGGTGAGGACGTCAACACTGGTGACACTACACACAGGATGGCAAAAATGCAGGTCATGACTACAAATACAATGTACAACTTTATGCAATAACCTACATTAGCAATACAATAAAACATACACTTCATTCGGGGTTGAACTCGTTAACATAGTATCATAATATGTAACAGCCAATAACTTGTTGTGGAGAGCTTGTAAGTGTGACCGAGCAAGTTTTTGTCACCCAAGCCACGGTGTGTCAGAAGTAATCACAGCATAATAACGCTAAGATCTTCCGAATATTATACAGAACATAATTAGAAGGTCATTAGTAATGCTCTGTCTATCATTTCACTCATATTTGGTGGTGGACAGTCATTTCAGTGTACTGTAATAATTAGTGTGATCTCTTGCCAATATTACTACTCCTCTAACTATATTCTTATTATTGTTTTTCTCTTCCCCCACCCAACTAAATAGCTTTCAAATAAATTTGATTCAAGAGTTTCTCCTCCAGTTCAACTTTTAAGATTATGATATCTGTATTTTTTTGGCATTATTATAAAATTCAACTTTTGTAAACTCAAGCCATCTATATTTGTAAAAAAAAATAATTGAATGTAATGAAACAATGGTAGTTACCTGAAGTTATCATGCCGAGATAGCTCACAACTACTAGATCACACCAGCTGCAGAGGTCTGTTTGGCCTACTGGGGACCAGTCAGAATTTCACCCCCCCCCCTGCCGTCCCCACTTGTTGATTTGTTTCAGCAAAATAATTTACAAACTTTTCACATTATTTTGATTTTCACTTCCTTGAGCCCTGCCCTGCTTCTCATTAATGTATCTTACTACACTAATCTGAAAATCAAGTAGCTTAGTTTTCAACTACTTAAGACTCACAATAATTTTTATATATTTTAACTTTACCTGAAAATGGATTAGCACCAGAAAAATTAGCCCAGGCATTGCCAGCATTTGGAGGTGTGCCAAACACCCCTCCTCCAATGCCTCCAGATCCACCTCCATTAACAGCACCAAAGACGGTATTGGAGGTGCCAGGGGAACCAAAAACAGTCCCATTCATTGCAGAGGATGAGGAACCAAACATTGAAGAACCCTGATGACTTCCATTAGGTATGGGCCAACTACCTCCTCCATCTGTGGGTAAACTTATCTTAGAAATTTGTTTGTGACCTACCGGTTTTGTCCATTCAGTCCAAGTGGATGGATAAAAGTTATTAAAATTAGGCAAATGAAAATCTATATCAGCTGAGCACGGTGGACCAAAAACTATTTACAGTACTTAACTATTAAACTTCCAAAATCCTTAAATTTCAGCCACAGGAAAAAAAAAAAAAAAAAAAAAAGCCCAGCATATTTTTCTAACCTTATTTTTACCTCCCACATGACTCCACCTTTATAGCGAATACAATAAACAACAAACGAGACATTGCACAACACCCTGGCACACACATTTACAGTAATATTACAAGTCACATACAACATTATTAACGAACATTTTCTCTGTCCTAACTCTTCATAGCATTTTACATAATGCTACTAACTCTAAAATATGCCCATAACTCTCTCCTGGATATTTACTTTAAAATTTGTATTATTTTAGTACATTTAATCAGTTCTATTTTAAAATGTATATTATCAATCTTTTTTTTTCTTTAATACTATATCATATACAGTATATAATTTTTGTATGTTATTTCATGGCTACTTATCCTACACCAATGGTCTGGTTATGATGGTGTTTAGATAAATTATTTTATTGTTTGGTTTCCAATTATCAGACAGGATGCTCATTAGGCTTATTGGGTTTCCTTACTAGTTACGGTCAAGGTTGTCTGTGCGGTCACCCAACCAGTTACAAGACAAAAACAGTTATTAAACTGTGACATGTACATTATTTATTGTGCAGTGCTATTTCTAACAAAACTTTTGCTATACTTTACTGAGCAGTGGCAGATGCTGCAATAACTGATATTTAATTTTTTAGTGGATGTCAGAGAAGGAAAATATATTATTGGAATCCCTGTCACAAGCTCTAATTCAATGGGCATTCTTTAATCATATATGTTTTATCAAGAACACTACTGTAAACTTTCCTTAAATTAAGTAAATTCAAAATGCGTTCATTTTTAGTAATGCTGTTTGTTAAACAGTCCTGCATTTAACCATCAAAATATGATACTTACTTGAAGATACAGTTTCAGATTCTTTCTGCGTCTTGAATTCCTCATCCAAGTCCTTCAACGCTGCATAGCGATCTTGCGTAGGTGGGGTTGAAGAGGATTGGGTGTTGGGAACAGTTGAGGAAGAAGGATTGGAAGAGGAGCCAGGGGCCATTGGGGTAAGGGGGTTACTGGAGAATGGGAGATGTGGACCCAAGGGGGTTGATTTGTTGCTGGATGTGGTGCCTGCAAGAATGTAATTAGCAGGAGTCATGCTAATGTCAGTATCACAATGGAAAGGCTTCTGCTGCTGACCTAAATTTTCATGCAAGAACATATCACTACTGCTATAGCCACCCAAACTTCCAACGCGTCCAACTGCACTGCTAGCCATGGGTGAAATCTGGCGAGCATTAGTGGCAGGCTGCAAATCTGATACAAATGGGTTAGTAAACAATGATGCACGAGTTGGATACACACTAGGAAAACTGCTACTTAGGCTGCTGCTGGCACGGATCTTACTGATAATTGGTATGGGCTTGGAGGCTTCTGGCCTTTTTTTGTTAGAGAGAGGAACATTATCAAAAATTTCATTTTCATCACTGGGTGCAGAAAGTGCGGCACCTTCACTTTCAAATGGGTTAGTCTTTTTGTCATCAAGTACTGGAGCATTCAAATTACTTATCATTCCTGGTTTGGGAGACTCACATTCTCTAGTTAATGATTTCTTCTCACTTTCTGCCATTTCTGATTTTGAGGCTATTTGTCCTGAAGCTAGATTCTGATAAGAGGTTCCCTTTATTTTTGAGGTTGAAGACAAAAAAGCAGCAAAACATTTCGAGCTGATCTCATTTGATTTTGCATTTGAATGAAAGTAATTCTGAGTGCTCTCTGGCATATCATTGTAATCAACAAGTGCTCTAACAGTCTCAGAATGAGAAGAATCTGTATTCAGAGCAGAGTATGAAAAATTACCAAGGCCTTTGCAGCCATGAGTAAATTTCTTCCTGGATTGAAATGGACTACTATGTAACGAACTACTTCCTGTCTGCAACTGTGATGCCTTTATGCGTTTTATTGCTGTAGGAGATGCATTTGCCTGACTTATTCCTGGTTCTGAGGAAGCATGCCAATTACTTGTGAGAGAAGGGTTAGAAAAATACAATGGCTGCTTTGTTGTGGAGGATGAAAATTTAGCTTCCTCCCTTTTGCATGCACTTAAGTTTGGGTTAGTTGGGCACACAAACTGGGCACTCACACCCGAGGCAAATATCACACTGGGATTGTTTCTCCCCTTGTTAGTTGATCTATTTGAGGAATCATATGTAATTGTGGTAGGGAAGGTTTCAGACATTGGGATAAGAGGAGTGCCAGCATTTACCTCATCCTCAAAACCCTCCCAATTAACAAAGCAAGATGGACTGATGCGAGGTGAGGGGGTTCGGGCAGGAGTAGTGGAAGAAGGATTAAGAGACACAGTGTAAGGTTGGTCCGTAAGTGTCTGATCCGCTGACTCTGATTCACTCTCTGAAAGCTGGTCTTCTGGGGGGAGAGAAATCACCTACTGATCATAATGGCAAACAAGGAACACCACAATATTATAAATTTATGACAGTGGGGAATTGGTAAACAAAAAGCAGCACTGGAAAATTTAGTTTAAGATTAGTACAATATCATTGGGTTTTGAGCCTATTGGGTTATGTGGTGTTACTTATAAACAATTACAGCATCTGATACTGTCCTTTAGTAAACCAAGATTAATACTGGTAAACAGGGCAAATATTTTAGTGGTGAATGATAATGTAAGATTACCCAGGTACAATTAGTGATGAAATATGGACAAGACATTAGTTTTATATTTATACACAAGTGTTGTTGGTTTAAAGCATATATGATTAAGTTCACTCTAGATATCACACATTTGTATACAAATAAAATCACTATGGGACAATATTCCTCAGTTATAGTAGCAGGCCAAATATTTTGCCAAAATTTATACATTTCAGGTTTCTAGTCGAAACAATGAGACCTTCTCGAGATATTCCACAAAAACCTTCTGGAAGAGAACTAAAGAAGGTAAAAACAAAGAGGATAAAACAATTAAGCATCCTTATGACAGATGCTTAAAAGTCTCCAGGGAATGTGGGTTACCTTGGCCTTCTCTAGCTTATTTTCATTAGTTAATTAACGAACATATTTTTTGCAATGATTATTCCTCTCCCACCTTTTATAGACCAGAGAGAGACACATCAGCAACAGTAGTAATTTGAAGTGAAATATGACAAGAAATTACGTGGAATAATCTCTGCATACACAATTCACATTTCTCCATTTAAATTCTTCATATATTTTTAAAATTTAATAATTGTGCAAACAAACACTTAATTTTGATGGAGAGGAGAGAAGGGCACTGAGGGTGATGGGGGGGGGCAGGGGATGTTGACTGGGTACTGAGTGGGGTTAAGGTTATTGTGTGGGAGTTAGGATTTGAGGGGAGGAGAGACTTTGTCCGTAGGTGGTTTGGTTACGGTTTATTTGCCTCCCTGGTGATAAAACCAGCAATGAATGTGTTGAAATACCTCTTTCTGGTGGGTTGCCCCTTGTTGTTGCTACCTTGAAAGCTCCCCCCCTTTCTATCCACACCAGAGCTTTGCGAGTCATCAGAAGCCTACCAGAGACCAGAGGCTAATACCTGGCTTCCCTCCCTCTACAGAGGAGCAAATAGCAGGGAATACTAGAACACCTTAACTAAGTACAGGCCACCAGAAAAGGTAGGTGAGCCTAACAGACCATCATCAAGGTAAACAAAGCATAGGAAATGAGAAAACAAAACCCCCAACCAAGCAAATCTTCCCGTCATGAAGCAGTTCACTTGTTAATTACACCTGCAGTCACACACCTGGCTTTTCAATTAGACAGCTTCAGTCATTTTACTAGGCACAGTGTAATAAGGTGTCATGATTATGCTCCTCTTGCTTGCCACAAAGATCTCTGAGTCCTCTCTTTTCAGATAAGTGTTGGCCATCCTGGACAGTTCTTTGTCTGGTGGGGGGATGGAGAGAGGGAAGGGGCACATTTGGTTGTATATGTGAAGCGAATATACCGGTATTTACTGCTAGTGTCTAAAGTGTTTACCTATTAGTGACTATTGAGGGGAAGGTGGGTCACAGGTAAGATCTAGCTCTTTATGCCCCCGCCTTTTTGCTCTTCATATCCGATGCACTAATTAACCCTCTCAATATTAATGTTTTCATTATATTTCTTTTTAAAGTTGTGAATGCATTTGGCTTGAACATCATATTTCAATGCATTCCAGTTTCTTACCATCAATATAGGGAACAAGAACTTCCTAATTGCATATCTAGTTTCCACTGATGTGGCCTTGCCATGCCTCTTAATTTAAATAGGCTTCCTTTATCCACTTTATCTATTCCCCTTCAAGACCTTACACATATTTATGTAAGGTCTTCCTCCAAAATAATCTTTCCTACCTCTACTCTACACAGACGCCGTCTTGTTGAATCAGTTCTAATACACAATGTACCCAACATGAACTTGAGTCCTGGCTTTGTTGCTGTGAACTCTTCCCTTTCATAGTACAGGTGTATATACTTAAATGCTCTAATCTTTCTAACAAACGTGACCTAACATAAGCTTACCCTTCCATTTATCTTTCTTTCTCTCTTCTCTCTTTTCTGTTCAGTCTTCTTTACGTTCCCTTACTATCCTCTTCTTATTCCTATTTCTATCTCCTGATTCGGTAGTTATAATAGGAGCTGCCTCGTATGGGCCAATAGGCCCTCTGCAGTTCTTATTCCTACTACTATCCCCTCTACTACACTTTGCTCCTCACCTCTCTCTAGCCTATTTATTGCCTGCATCTACTTCCTCATCACAATCGACTTGAGAATGGTCCAGGACGGACCGAAACGTCGTCGTCCTTTCACCTTCTAGTGTGTGGTCTGGTCAACGTACTTTAGTCACGTTATTGTGACTCATCGCCTGCCCATGTTATGGCTGTTATAAAATTCTCTCCAAATGTTCAAAAATCCTTTTTCTGGTTACTTTCTAGAATCATGCACTGAATGCATGCTAATGATATAGGTCTATAGTTTAGTGCTTCATCTCTCTCTTTCTTGAATATTGTAACCCACATTTGCCATTTTCCAGAAGCTCTCCAATCTCTAGCACAACGTTGAGCACTATAGTTAATGGGCAACACAAGCTATCTGCAGCTTCTTTCAGTACCCATAGTGATATCTGGTCTGGCACTCTGCTTTTGTTACATCCAGTTCATAGGTAGCTTTTTTACCTCTTCAACATTAACTTCAATTCTGTTTAGTGTTGTTCCTGGATGTCTGTTGTCACCCTTACTTGGACACTAATCTGGTTCTGGTTTGAAGACTTCTTGGAACCTCTTGTTGAGTTTTCAACACACACCATTCTCATTCTCCAAAAGTGTTCCTCCCTGTCCACGCAGTCTAATCAGTCTCGTGCCATGGTTTTCCTCAGTATATGGCTGTGCGACAGCTTAGGAATGGCTCTTTTACTTTTGCTGCGGAGTCATTCTCAAACTGCTGCTCTCCTGATTCTTGTGTACTCAGGGCCTGGTGTGGATTGAATTGGGTGGAGTAATCTAGGTAGCGGGCAACAAGGAGCCACTGAAGGAGTCCTCCAACAAAACTCTGCTCTTCCTTCCCCGTTGAACCAATTCTCTTCAAAACCCAAATAAGTATAAAAATAATAGTTGTTGACCAGACCACACACTAGAAGTTGAAGGGACGACGACGTTTCGGTCCGTCCTGGACCATTCTCAAGTCGATTGACTTGAGAATGGGCCAGAACGGACCGAAACGTCGTCGTCCCTTCAACTTCTAGTGTGTGGTCTGGTCAATATACTTCAGCCACGTTATTGTGACTCATCGCCTGCAAAATAATAGTTGCCTTTAGGTTACACTTCCCAATAAGTCATCTAAATTTCAGGATTTTAAGTGTCTTAAATTTCATATCAATATAATAAGGCATTCTCCACAAAAGAAAAAAATATTAGAGAAATGGATTTGTGATTTTGTATTGGTAGATTTTCAAGGGGGGGGGGGGGAGGAAAAGATCACTTGCGTCGAACTATTGGCCAATTAGCTTTACATCTACTGTAGGAAAATTACTTTAATTCATAATCACAAAAGCATTCGTCTACATCTTGCAAAAGATAGATTAATAAATGATTCACAATATGGTTTTATTAAGGGCCAAATGCTTGACAAATTTGCTGTCACTATTCCACGCAAACTGACAGAACTGTGCATATGAAATGTCATTTCATATGTCAACTGTGTATATGAAATCAACTGTGTATAAGTAAATGTCAACTGTGCATATGAAATGTCATTTCATATGTACAATAAGATTCCATTAATGTGATGTATCAATGAGAAAATTAGTAGGAGCCGTGAGGAGGATATTCCAGCATATTTAAGATACTTGACAGTAAAAAGGATTATGATGTTTTGTACTGTGACTTAAGCAAATCTGTCGATACAGTGCCATATGAAATACTGATTAAAAAGATGGAGGAGGTTCCATAGTATCAGGGGGCACTATTTTAAGTTGGATAAGGGCATGGTTATATCAACAGGAACAGAGTTAATATAAAGGAGTTAAGTCAGAGTGGGAACCATTGTAAGTGGAGTGGAGTGCCCCAAGGCTCTGTCCTGGGACCTCCGTTGTTTATCGTATACCTACATAAATTATTTAGATTTAGGATTGAGCAGTAAAATTTGCAGACATGAAAATTGGGTGAGAAATAAATTCTGAAGACTCAAGATCACTTCAAGGCAATCTAGATGGATCTTTGAAGTGGTTGAATGATTGGCAGATGCAATTTAATGCTGACAAATGTAAGGTTCTGAGGCATGGTAATGATGATAGTTACATGGCATCAGCTTCATAGTAATGAAATTGCAAAATCTGACTGCAAAAAAAAGGTCTGATGGTTATTATTAGTAGGAACTTAAAGCCAAAAAGTCATTGTAAAAATTTTCAAAATAAGGCATATTGGATACCGAGATTTAATTGTAGAAGCATTAGGAATAAAACACGAAGTGTTATTCTTCAGGTATATTAAGATAGCATAATTAAGCATAATGAATTATAAATTATATCTTGCTCTTAATAGGCCCTATTTAGATTATGCAGTTAAATTTTGGTCACCATAACAAAATTGATTGAATCTTTGAATTGAATTGAACTGAATTTAACTAAACATTTGTGAATCAACAAATTCACTTGAGCGTGTTCAGTGAAGAATGTCAAAGTTAATCTCACAAATCAGAAACCTTCCATATGAAGTGAAATTGAAAATGGTTAAATTACATTGTCTAAAAAAGCAGAGTTAAAGGTGACATGATTGAAGTGTAAAATGGATGAATGGGCATGAGGGAAATATTAATAAGGTGTTAAATATAACACAATAAAACAAGAAATAATAGATATAAATTGGATAGGTGTAGAGTTAGGAAAGACCTGGGTAAATATTGGTTTCGCAACGGGGTTGTTAATTTGTGGAACAGATTACCGGGTAACATAATACACATAGGATCACTTGATTGCTTCAAGCGTAGGATACACACACAGTATGAATGAGTGGGTGGATATAAATAGCAGCTACCACATGTGGAATAATAGACCTTCTGTAGTTTCCTTAATTCTTATGTCCCTATATTCTTATAATAACATAAATCTTAATTTTATTATTAAAATACAAGTGCTGTAGGTTTCAACACCATGAAGTTCCCTCAAGACTAATTTGTTCCTCAAAATTAAGTATTTTAAGCTTCAAGTCAATATCGTGAGGCATTCTTGGATTAATGAATAGAAAATATTGTGAAAAAAATAACATCCAATCCACAAGGCCAATCAGGGATACCTAAACAGTGGCAAAAGTGAAAATAGTTTTAAGTGAGCCTATACAGTGCTACAAAACATCTAACATACACATACAGTAAATCACTATAAATAATGAGACACACACTTCTGCAGCCACCAAAGAACAGTACCAGACAGATCAATATATATATATTAATGAATTAGTAGAAAAGACTTACCAGGAGTGTTGGAAAAAATGTTCGCATTCTCAAAATTGGCAAATGAAGGCTGTGAAATTGATGTGGGTGCTTGGGAACTTGTTGGAGAGGCAAAGGGGTCATTAGAGTTGACCTTGGGACCAGGTTGGCTTCCTAATTCAGCTAATAAATCTAACGAAGTCGAAGATTTTGGAGTGGATGTTTTTGATCCTGTACTGGTGTTGTTGTTTAGCCCTCCACTTACTGACCCTGACGACTAAAATAAAAGGGGGAAAAATTGCAATAATAATCTAAACATCTTTATGCAGGAGTAATGAGTGATCATGTCATTATGTATAATGCCAGGAATAATGTATGATTACATCATTATGTATAATGCCAGGAGTAATGTATGATTACATCATTATCTATAATGCCAGGAGTAATGTATGATTACATCATTACATATAATGCCATCAGTAATGTATGATAACATCATTATGTATAATGCCAGGAGTAATGTATGGTCACACACATCATGAACTCTAGCTGGACACAAATTATTGGACAGTATTACTGACTGAAAAAGGATTGATAGCAAAACAAGCATACTGTAATTAAATGTTGAAGCCTGCAGCTGCTGCGACTAAGTATATTACTCATTCTGAAAATCAGCCATCAGGTATGCATAAATAGCATCCTAATGGAGAGAGATATCAGCAGAAATATTCAAGGTATTGTTGAAGGGCTGCTGGAGCCAACCAGCTGCCGCCATTAAGGATTATTTCTTTTAATAAATCTTTTTCTTTTATATTAAGGTATAACAATAGAGCATTCATCTTGCCCTTCTCTCATGCCATCACATCTGATACAAGAACTATAGGCAAGATCCACCGTGACAAACACTAGTAAACAAATTTATTGTCGGCCTTTAAAACTGCCCGGTTCCTTTGGCCTATATCTAGTTGATATTTGTACCTCGTTATTACCAGGTAAAATGCTTCATGTGGTGTCAAGCTATTCATCAACTGGCTAAATTATTGGGCTTGCACCTGCACTCCTACAGTACATGAATCACATGGGCATTAAGTTTGGCACCATCAATTAAGAAAATAGGAAAGTAGTTCACCATAGACAAAGTAACATTAACTCCAGATGTAATGTACATCATCTTACGTAACTGCAAGAGTATACAAAAAAAAAAAAAAATACATTCTTTTATCTAGCTCTTGACTCTGCATAGAAAATTATATATACTGCTATTTCATATAGAGAACACAGGTAGAAACTGGAAATACAAATAAGAGCGTTGTAACAAAGTGCTCCTTTAGTTTACACACAGTCAGTGTGATGGGCCACGGAGGAACACACACACTGCAATTTACAAAGTTAAAAAAAATTCTAATAAAAAGAACAATGAAAATTTACATTTCATGGAAAGCCTTAGTCAACTAGCAAATATTTTTTATATTAATGAGAAGATATGCAGTGCCAAAATGAATTCTGAAAATGTGTCTAATTCTTGTTACAGATCAAAATAATAAATAATGTTTCTTGAACAATGGGAAATGCAAGAATAACAATAATCCCTGGCCATGTCCACGATCATTAAGGATAGTCGACATAATAGCTGGTGAAAAATAGTTTTGGAATGGAATGACTCTTATGAGGATAAGTAAATCGGGGAATCGTTTTATAGTGCAATTGCAGAGATCTCGAGTAGAGATGAGTAGGCAATGAGAAAAATATTCAATATAAATAAATTTCAAGGGGAGTAGTCAAAGGTGTAGCATTGATGCATTAAAGATGTTGACAACTGCTTAGAGAGGAAGTGAATACAAAAACTGACTACAGCTTGAGAAAGATAGCACATATGATGCAGAAATCTGCACAAAATCTGTTTAGGCTGGATGTGAAGATTTGACATAGACTAGCCACCTTCCCATACAGGCATAAACAGCCCCTAATGAGTTACATCAAATCCAGTTGTTAAATTATATGACCAATTAAGGAACTCAAGAGACATTATATAATGGCTAGAATTGTTTATACACACGATAATTTGTCAAATATCTAGGAGATATCTGCATATCATGAACTACAAATAGACTAAATAGGTTGGAAGGAAGCAGGTGCTCTGGTAATAGCTTAGGCAAGCAGTGTGATGGTATCATTACTATGTTACTATGCAGTAACTCAAAGGAAACTTTTAATTCACAAGATTTTAATTCATAGCCAACAATATCAGAGACTGCTTCAGCACACACATCTGAACACGTCTCAGCTGCAGTGTCACCATCAGTTCACACTGTTGTACTGATTAAATACACATCTGAATACTGTCTAAACAAAATTCATTAATATTTAATAACCTAACATTTATATTCCCTGGAAATATTTATAATAATTTTTATAGTTCAGTTTTAATTAAAGCAGCAATATGGCTATGAATAAAACCCGTTGAAAATCTAACCACTTCAGCGTCAAGAAATGCTACATAATACAACGCAGAGGACAAACAAACTTTGTCTCCTGTGAAGGACCCTGTGTTGTCTGGACGAACAAATTTCAGCGGAGGTAACATGGGTTTTCGTTCCCTCCAACGGCCTTTTGCAGACTGAAGACAATAAAATAATGGAAACTATTATCTATCTCAGCAAGCTTTTAATATATCTAATATATTCCCAAGAAAATAATGTGGTCATTTACAAATACGTACTGTACCCATCATCACAACCCATGAACTTCAATAGCGGGAGGAAGCTAATCTGCCTCAAAAGTGGTGAGACATGGCAAAACAAATTACACCGATGAATGTAATGAAATGCCTCTTTCTAGGGAAGGCTTTAGGGGCTCCCTGTTGCTTGCAGTACTGAGACAGCTCCACACTATTAACTATTAAGTCACCTCAGCTCTTGCAAGTCATTAAAAGCCTAATAGGGATCAGAATCCAAACCTGGTCCCCATCAAAGAGGTACAGAGAGCATGGGAATACTGTACATGATCACCCTAACCGAGAAATAAAGTACCCAGAAAGAAGCGAAGCAAAATGGACAATGGCATGGTCAAAAGAATAACACAACACTGTAAAGAATCCATCCAGGAGTTAAGTCAACCCACACCCATATTGGAAGCATTCTGAAACTTTCATCTGCATTTCAGAGATAGACCTCAGAGCTTGCACCAACTCTGCCATGGCTTAACTTTGATTTTGTTCCTGGTGATGCATTGCCTTAGCCTGCAAGCCTCACTTTATTCTCCTTAGAGAGTCTGCATCTTTTAATCAATGGTAGGTAATGGACCTCCCCTCAGTCCCCCTGGTGTGTTGATAGCCGTTTAGCTATAGCAATGAACCTATACTTCATTTTGTTTAACTGTTTCCCTGTCCTTATATTTACTAGCTACTTTGCCTCTACCCAATAAGTGGCCTCATAACAGGCAGTTTACCTTTGACTTTCCCATGGTTTAGATTTGCCAAACAAGTGTTTTCTAAAAGCATGTTGCTTGTGTCTTTCCTGGGGGCAGGTAGCCAATCCCTAGATTTGGGAACTTTTTTGGGCTTTCTCTGTTTTGATTTACTCTTTGTACCCAGGTTGCCTAATGGTTTCATGTTGGTCTTTAGTTAGGTCCTCTGGCACAATTTGTTGTGAGGTACACACTTTGTCAGGTTAAGACACCTTCGTTAAGATAGGTTCAGGTTTCCTGGTTGTAGACTTGCATCTCCTAGCTCTTGCATGCACTGGTGAAGGCAATTTAGCTTCAAATATATCTTTGGGGGCCAAGGGTTGAGAAAGACTGTTAGCTTTCTTTTCTACAGTGCAGAGTCCCAAGTTTTAGCCAGGTCTCTGATTCCAGTTCATGCATGATGGAATAGTGTATCCTGAAATTCAATTGCCTGGTTCTCCAGTAAATGAGGCTTAGCTTGTCTATTTTCATGCCAAGTCTCCCCTCTGGTGGCAGCTGTGTTGGTGACTTTACCTCACAGTATCTTGTAGCTGGTGTGGTCTATACTCTTCAGTATTCTTTGCCCACGACCCTAGAACACAGCCAAGTTTTCTCCATTTCATTTGCATTTGGGTGTGTGGTTCCAGTAGGAAGTCATAAGTGATAGTTCAGAAAAAAGGTTTCGAGTTTATATATAAACAACCTTTCTGAACACTATCTTTTGGCTGCTCCCAGTCCCTCCCTTGATGTCCCACTTCCGCTATGGGCAGAGTTGGGTATTTGTGTCAGGAAGTGTGTGAGGGGGGGGCTTGGGTGAGAAAACCCAGAGGTAGGTGTGGTGCTGCAGCTTGGCAGCAGTCAGTACATATAGCCAGGTAGGACAACTGGTAGCAAGTGGGAACCCTCTTTTATCACCAGTAAACCAAGAGAGAGAGGGAGTGGAACAGCTGCCATTCTTATTACTGTACTTTTGAATTTCAGACAAGACTTACTGTACTCTTGTCAGTAATTCTGAAGTGATCTGTAATAACCCTAATGAAAATTACTTTCAAAATGACTGTTTGAAAAGTTCCCTGTAGAGCTGCCAGTGTTTTCATTCACAACTACATGAACCTATCTTACAGACAAGGTGGATCTGACCTCAGGGAAGTATCAAAGAATCTGATAAGAAAGATGCTTTCTATAAAATATAAATTAATTCTTTTTTCTTCATCTTATTCATGCCAGTTTATCTTATTTCTTGCTCTCTGTTCTAGTAAATGTACGGTTACCATGATAATCCCCCCCCCTTTCTCTCCTCACTTTCTTATTTCCCATTGAGAGCAGAAGCAACACAGTAGCTTAATTTACATAATAGCCTTACAGTGGGTATAATTCACTTCAGTTATTACTTCAAGTCTCTTAACCCTTACATGGCCCCAATCACTATCTGTGATTACCTTCTGTGCTTGAGTCACCATATGCATTTTTTTACATTTGTTTAATGACCTTTGTCATGCACACCAAGATGTAGGACTTTTAATTAGCTGAGCCATGTATGGGTTAAGTGCAGTACTGAAGGCCTCTGGGATGTCTGGAGTAATTACACCGAGGACATTTCCTCCACAATGACAGAAAATATTTTGGCAGACATGCCAATAAAACTCACCTGTGAGGCTGTAACATTTGGACGTGACACTGATGAGCTAGCTGTTAGCCCAGCCTTACTAGTTTCACTATTTGGCGTAGAGGCATTTGACGACGTGGCACTCGAGTTTTGTGGAGGCATATTCTTCAGAGCAATACTGGGCTCTATATAAAACCTGCGACATAAAATAGTTACGTCTCAATTAATATCATAAACCCACTTCCATCTTGAAATATGTTATGTTTGGTTTAGTGAATGTTTTAGTGTGTGAGCATAAGTATTGGAGCAGTAAGCTCTGGGGGAGGTACCAAAATGACAACCCAGAAGATTGATACAACTGGATCTCACTACGTTGGAAGAAAGAAAAAAACACGAGACATGATAATGACAAAGTTTCTATGAAAATTGACTATTTAGACAGAGCAACAATGTTCAATGTGAGGAGCAGCAGATAGAGGGTATTTACAGCAGATGGAAATTGGAAATGTAACTATAAAAACGACATCAGAAATAAATTCTTCAATGCAAGAAAAATATTATTAAATGGATTAGAAGAAGTAGTTGTCAAAGCTAATTCGGTGCTCAGTTTTAAACATGAATATGACAAGAAAAATAAGTGACTAGTCATTAATCTACTGATGATCGAAATGTCCTGCAACCACACACAGGTGCCTACACTCATATGAGTACACACACATACTGTACATACAGAATATACACACACACACATTAATTCATGCATCCATATATAGGATGTAGTACTGTACAGTATACAGTAATCAGACATGAATACAAACATATGTACACACAGTACAATATACAGTACTACTGTATATATGCTTCAATATGCATGCATGATGAAATAAAAGCATAGTGTGGCATAGGACTACACCAGAGTGGTGTAGCAAGAGCTGTCTAGACAAAACTAGAATGTGTCAACAAGTATACCCGACACCACCTTCCCCCCCCCTCCCCTTCCACTCCACCCCAATGGTGATAGGTTTGCTGAAACTCTAGTTGCGCATGTGGGATCAAGTGCACATGACCCCACACACACACTGGCCTTCACAGATAACCCAAATCAGCCCTCGTGGCGGGGAGGGGGAAGGAGGGAGAGGGAGAGAACTATAAAGTCTCGTCAGACCAGATACGTCAAAAATGAGGAAAAGAAATTACAGATGAGATAGCAGATATAGAAAAAAAAATTATCAAAGAACTGTGTAAGAACATGGACAAATGGAGTCACTTACATTAAAAAGAATATAATAAAAACTTAAAATACAAAATTAGTGTCTGGTATATATATTTTGATCATAGCCTATCAAGAGAGGTACCCTAACCCATCATATCTCAGGATTTATAAAAAGTGATGCAAAAAGTTCAGGGGTGAAAGGGGGGGGAGGGTTGAATGATTACAGGTTAGTATAGGAGGGCTGGCGGTAGTAATGATGGGTCATAGTGGTGGATCATGGAGGGGATGGGATGTAGAGGTAGGGGTCATGATGGGACATAATAGTGGTGGGTCCTGGTTGTGGTTGTGGGGCCTGGTGGTGGTGGTGGGCGTTGGCGAGTGGTGGTGGTGAGTGGTAGTGGGTCTGGGTGGTAGTGGGTCTGGGTGGTAGTGGGTCTGGGTGGTAGTGGGTCTGGGTGGTGGTGGGTTATGATTGTGGTGATGGGTCATGGTGATGATAGGATACAAAAAATAAAAGAGAGTGTAGGAGGTAGGCCTATCAGATACAGTACTTACATTAACTACAAGAATTGGGCATGGTGGAATAGATGTCGGTTATGAATACAGGTATTTTGTGAAAGTTATAAATTATAACACACCGGGCAAAAGCTTGAATACTGTACAAATTTTGAAGCACAGTAGTGTAATTCTTCATGAAAAAATTGAAGTGACAAAGAGTAGGTAAAGTCACAGACAGTAATGGTTATTATGAGGGATTTGCAATTTTTAAACTATTAGAGCTATAACAGAAATTAAACACAGTATATGCAGACACTAAAACCTACACATTCCAAATAATTGCATCTACTGTATTACAAAACTCTCTAGAGTAGTGATGACATCAAAAACTAGTGGGATTATTACATGACATTAGGGTATGTGTTGATTTTGTTACTCTATATACAGTATACGCTAGTCATTTTATATACGACATGCCACAAGGGGGACTGGGTTACATGACCCAATAACAACAGGGATCGCCTTACAACACCATACGAGTCTTGAAATTTTAAATCTAGTAAACTAAGAACATCAGAAAGTATGGAGCAAAGCAAAAAGTAATTATTTCAGTGAAAACAATAAGGTATAATTTTGAGGTATAATTAAGCATTTTAACAAAAAAAGTTTTAAATTTAAAATTTTAAAAATATTCATAAAATACTGGAATTTAATTCCTTTTTACTTTTTATTAGTGAATTACAATTTAAAACTTTTTTGTCATCCTCATATATCATAGCATCACCAATACAGCCGAATGCTGTGCCACCTTCTAGGCTACTCTAATGTATAAACAATCTGTTTATGAAAACAGTATCCTCTGACCTACAACACAAAAATACACGACCTACTTTGCCTAAGCACAAATTCTACACTATGACCATTATCTACAACATTTAAACTTGGTATTACATTATCCTTATTGTACGTGTGCTTAAGCTAAGAATTAAAAACAAAAAACAAATGTGTTATTGTGCTAAGAAATAGGCACATAAGCGTTGGGTAGACTACAACGTGGCAATGAGTCGTGCCGAGTACACTGTGCTGCACTCAACTGGGGACAGGACACCACGTGGCTAGTCAAGGTCCCCCGACCCCCTACCCCCTAGGATGAGGTCAAGGCCCTCGCCCTCCCCCCACCCCTTGCTAAAGTTGTACTCAAGTCCTCAGCTCCTAGCCAAGGTCAGAACTGTGCCTAGAACTCTACGTGGTCACCAATAAAGCTACTAGCCAAACACGACTGTCCAAGCAACAATCTACACATTCCTTTGTAATAGCCAACAATTAATGATTGTGTGTAACAATACTAGATTAAACACCTTATTTTTATGAAACATTGTGAACAAATGCTAAGGTATTATAGAATGATAGCCAAATGTTTCTTGATGTAATCAGCCAAGAAGGGACTATGATACTTTTGCAAATACTAAAGTATAATTTATTAAAATGTATTTTGGCTACTAGCTTTTCATATTTATGTGAAAAAATCCCCCCTACAAACAAGATAAAAAAATGCATACAACAAAATTCTTAAAATAAATGAATTATTGGCTTCCAAAATTTCACCAGATTTGCTCTTTATCTTCAGCATGTAAATTAAGGCTCTAGGATCAGAAAGCTTTAACACAAATTATTCTACTTGGAGATCAATGCAGACTATTAAGCCTCAGAGCCCAAAGCTTTAGCATGCTGCCATAATTTTCAAATATTTTTAAGCAACAAAAACAGCAGCAGCAACTATGTTTTACTCTAATGCCCAAGTCCATATACCCATTGGACGAGTCCCATCCCACTGTACCAGTCCCATCCCACTGTACCAGTCCCATCCTGCTGCACCAGTCCCATCCCACTGTACCAGTCCCATCCCACTGTACCAGTCTCATCTCACTGTACCAGTCCCATTCCACTGCACCAGTCCCATCCCACTGCACCAGTCCCATCCCACTGTACCAGTCCCATCCCACTGTACCAGTCCCATCCCACTGTACCAGACCCATCCCATTGCACCAGACCCATCCCACTGCACCAGTCCCATCCCACTGCACCAGTCCCATCCCACTGCACCAGTCCCATCCCACTGTACCAGTCCCATCCCACTGTACCAGTCCCATCCTACTGCACCAGTCCCATCCTACTGTACCAGTCCCATCCTACTGTACCAGTCCCATCCTACTGCACCAGTTCCATCCTACTGCACCAGTCCTATCCCACTGCACCAGTCCCATCCCACTGTACCAGTCCCATCCCACTGTACCAGTCCCATCCCACTGTACCAGTCCCATCCCACTGTACCAGTCCCATCCCACTGTACCAGTCCCATCCCACTGTACCAGTCCCATCTCACTGTACCAGTCCCATTCCTCCCCACCAGTCCCATCCCACTGTACCAGTCCCATCCCACTGTACCAGTCCCATCCCACTGTACCAGTCCCTTCCCACTGTACCAGTCCCATCCCACTGTACCAGTCCCTTCCCACTGTACCAGTCCCTTCCCACTGTACCAGAGCCTTCCCACTGTACCAGTCCCATCCCACTGTACCAGTCCCATCCCACTGTACCAGTCCCATCCCACTGTACCAGACCCTTCCCACTGTACCAGTCCCATCCCACTGTACCAGTCCCATCTCACTGTACCAGTCCCATCCCACTGCATCAGTCCCATCCCACTGTACCAGTCCCATCCCACTGTACCAGTCCCATCTCACTGTACCAGTCCCATCCCACTGCATCAGTCCCATCCCACTGTACCAGTCCCATCCCACTGTACCAGTCCCATCCCACTGTACCAGTCCCATCTCACTGTACCAGTCCCATCCCACTGCATCAGTCCCATCCCACTGTACCAGACCATTCCCACTGCACCAGCCCCATCCCACTATACCAGTCCCATCCCCCTGCACCAGTCCCATCCCACTGCACCAGTCCCATCCCCCTGCACTAGTCCCATCCCCCTGCACCAGTCCCATCCCACTGTACCAGACCCATCCCACCGCACCAGGCCCATCCCACTGTACCAGTCCCATCCCACTGCACCAGTCCCATCCCCCTGCACCAGCCCCATCCCATTGCACTGCAATATACCACCATGTGCATTACAGTATCACAGATGTGAATTGCAATAGCTGAATCATATGTATTTAATTAAAATGTAAATAATTTCTGTATTGACTCAAGAATTAGGACCACCTTATTTGATCAAGGTCAGTAAGTAATGACACTTTGAACCCACAGGCTGATACCCCACAGTACTTGTACATGTACTGTAATACTAATCAGAATAGTACAGGAACTGTACATGAATGAGAACAAAATGTGATCACTTCACACAACCAAAATAAAGACTCAACTCACCAATACTCACCAGAAGTGTCAACTTGAGTCAAAGCCACACACACGTGTCTGCCAGCAATGTGCACGTCTCACTAATGCCTCTCGCTCTACAGGTCCTGACCATTCCGTTACCCGCTTCACCCACACCTCCCCAAGCTCCGCCCACGCACACACACACACACACTGCTGTGCTTCCTGCCCCAAGGTCAGTTCATCCCAGGCCAGTGGTACACACCACTGAGACCCACAATCACCACACCAGTTCCATGCCATAATGTAGATAGGATAAAAGGAGGAAGAGTGAGGGGCTGCAAGACAGGGGGGGGGGGATGAGGGGGGGGAGAGAATAACGGGAGTGGGAGCTGAGAGAATGAGGGGAGGGGGAGAATGAGGAGAGGGGGGAAATGAGGGGTGGGGAGGAGAGAGGGAGAATGAGTGAAGGGGAGAGGAAAAAAATGAGGGGAGGAGAGAGGGAGAATGAGGGGAGGTGAGAGGGAGAATGAGGGGAGGGGGAGAGAATAGGAAGAATGAGGAGGGGGGCAGAGAATGGGGAGAATGAGGGGGAGGGGGAGAGAATGAGGGGGAGGGGGAGAGAATGAGGGGGAGGGGGAGAGAATGAGGAGAGGGGGGGGAGAGAATGGGAAAAATGAGGGGAGGAAATAATGGGGGAGTGAGGGGATGGGGAGAATGTGGGGAGGGAAGAGAATGGGGAGGGAAGAGAATGGGGAGAATGAGGGGGAGGGAGAGAAAATGAAGGAGAATGAGGGGAGGGGAGAGGAAGAGTTGGAGGAGAGGAGGAAGGAAACAGTTGGGGTGATAGGGATGGAGGGAGGGGGGGGGGAGAGAAAATGAGAGCAAGCAGAGAAAGCGAGCAAGGGGGGGAGGGGGTGAGAGGGGGAGGAGGAGACTGGGGGTGGGAGACTAGGGGTAGAGGAGAGATGGGATAGGTAGGAGACAAGGGGAGAGGTGGAAGAGCTAGAGGGGCAAAGCAAAGGGGGAGGAGGAAGCAGCAAAGAGAGAGGGGAGAGGAGAGCACCAAAGGAGAAAGTGAAGGGGGAAAAAGGTGGGGTATAAGGAGAATGAGGGGTTAGAGGGAAAGAGCAAGAGAGAGGAGGGGGAAGAGAAGTGAGAGGGTGCAATAGAGTGAGCAAAAAGGGGGGGGGCTAAAAGAAGGGTGAAAAAGGGGGGAAACGGGGAAAAAAGGTAGGTGAAGAGGAGGAGATTGAAGGGGGAGCCAACAAAGAGGAGAGAGAGTGAATAGGGCAGAGTGCAGGGGAAAGAGCAAAGCAAAGGGAGCAAAGGTGGAGGGAGAAGGGCAAAGGGGAAGAGGGGGGAAGAGTGACGGGGGAGTGTGTGTGTGTGTGTGATGAAGTGACGGAGGGGGAGTGTGTGTTACGGGGGAGTGTGTGTGTGTGACGGGGGAGTGTGTGTGTGACGGGGGAGTGTGTGTGTGACGGGGGAGTGTGTGTGTGGAGGGGGAGTGTGTGTGCATGAAGGGGGAGTGTGTGTGCATGAATGGGGAGTGTGTGTGCATGAAGGGGGAGTGTGTGTGCATGAAGGGGGAGTGTGTGTGCATGAAGGGGGAATGTGTGTGGAGGGGGAGAGTGTGTGTGAAGGGGGAGTGTGTGTGAAGGGGGAGTGTGTGTGAAGGGGGAGAGTGTGTGTGAAGGGGGAGAGTGTGTGTGGAAGGGGAGTGTGTGTGGAAGGGGAGTGTGTGTGTGTGTGTGTGTGGAAGGGGGGGAGTGTGTGTGTGAAGGGGGGGGAGTGTGTGTGAAGGGGGAGGGAGTGTGTGTGAAGGGGGAGTGTGTGTGATGGGGGAGTGTGTGTGATGGGGGAGTGTGTGTGATGGGGGAGTGTGTGTGATGGGGGAGTGTGTGTGATGGGGGGAGTGTGTGTGAAGGGGGAGTGTGTGTGAAGGGGGAGTGTGTGTGAAGGGGGAGTGTGTGTGAAGGGGGAGTGTGTGATGGGGGAGTGTGTGTGATATGTGAGTGTGACGGGAGAGTGACGGGGGAGAACGTGTGATGAGGGAAGAGTGTGACTGGGGGATTGTGTGAAGGGGGAGTGGGTGTAATGGGGGAGAAAGTGTGATGGGGAGAGTGTGTGACAGGGATGAGTGTGTGACGGGGAGAGAGTGAGACATGGGGGGGGGAGTGAGATGGGGGTGAGTGAGATGGGGGGGGGGGTGTGAGATGGGGAGTGTGTGACGGGGAAGAGAGAGAGAGAGGGGAGAGAGTGGGTGAAGGGCAGAGAGCAATGGTGAGAGAAAGGAGAAAAGACAGAAGGGGAAGGTGAGGGGGGGGGGAAGAGAAGAGGGGATTGGGGAGAGAAGAGGGGATGGGGAGAGAAGAGGGGATGGGGAGAGAAGGGATGGGGAGAGAAGAAGGGATGGGGAGAGAAGAGGGGGATTGGGGAGAGAAGAGGGGATGGGGAGAGAAGAGGGAGATGGGGGAGAGAAGAGGGAGATGGGGAGAGAAGAGGGAGATGGGGAGAGAAGAGGGAGATGGGGAGAGAAGAGGGAGATGGGGAGAGAAGAGGGAGATGGGGGAAGGTAGCACTTTTGAGGTAATACCAAGAAACATGCCTTTTATTTCCTAATGTTCCCTGAGAAACAGTCTCAGTAACTCTCCGTTACATTCTCCAAACAGCATCTCATACAAGGAAAAACTAGCACCTGAATGTAATGAAATATCTCTTTCTGGATGACTTATATTGAATTTTGTAACTAGCTCATCAAGATTGTAACTTGCTTAGCTAAATGAATTGTGGGGTTCAGTCCCTGAGCCCATTATGTACCTCTGTAACCCTTTCCACTACTGCCCACAAGATGGGTATGGGGTGCATAATAAATGAACTAAACTAAAAAAACTAAACTCTGGTGGGTCCATGATGGGTCATTGGTGGTTCCTTGATGCTTACTACTTGGAAAGCTCCACCAAATTCATGTCAGTCTATTGCATGACATTGTAAGCCTATCAGAAATCAGTGCAAAATCTACCCTCCCCCCCCCCCATCTAAAGAGGCACAAGTAGCAAGGAATCCTAGGTCACCAAAGCAAGAAAAGGCCACCAGAAAAAGAGGTCAAACTAAAAGAAATAAATAGCAAAGTAAACAAAGTATAGAACAAAATCGGCAAGCAAACCCCTCAGATGAATGAACATCCTGGTCATGAAGCTGTTCTCTTGTTAGTTCTACCTGTGCACCACCAGGCAAACATGCACCTACCTTCTAGCTTTGAACCTTAGTCATTTAGCCAAGAAGACAGAAACAAACAAAGCCATGGAATGGGGAAGGAGGGTCCCAAGAAACCACCAAAGAACGACATTCCATTACATTCAATGCTGATTTTCTGAGAGAGTTCCCTATGGTGGCTCCTTGGTGCTATGTCACCACAGAGAGAAAAAAAGAAATTATTTAGGGGCAGAGGAGAGCCGCTGAAATTAACCCCATGAAAGGGGAAAACTAGCCCAGGATGGCCAGCCCTTGTCTGAAATACTGGGAGCCAAAGGATACTGGGGCAGATAAGAGTATAGCAGTAAATGTGTTCAATGGATGCATCAGGCAAAATGACTGGGGATTCAATGTTTGTGGTTCGAGGAGGAAAGTGCACAGCTTGATGGTGCACAGGTGTAACTCAAGTGAGAACTGCTTCACCACCGTGTGGATCGTGAGTCTCGGGGCTTTGCTGTCCCATTTTCTTTAGTTTGTTTACCTTGTTGTAGTCCATTTTGACTTGCTGCCCCCTCCCCTCCCCCTTTCTGGTGACCATTTTTGGGGTTAGGGTAATTTATGATCTAGGCCTGCTTCTTGCACTTCTATATAGGGAGCCAGGTTCAGGCCTTTGGTTCCTGGTAGATATATATAGATATATATATATGACTTGTAATGACCTGGCGTAGATTTAATTGGGTGGAGCTTGCCAAGTAACAAGCACCAAGGAACCACCATAGGAGCCTTCCCAGAAAACACCTTGTGACAGGCAAGACACCAATAAACAAGCAATTAGAATGCAAATTCAGCAAACTACCACAAACGTTTAAGAGCTCCACATTACTTTAGAATGCTTCATTATCACAAACCCAATCCCAACATAACATCAGACCATATACTCCTAAAGGAAAATTTCATATACTGTATTAACAGTGATTGGCTCCAGCTACATAATATGAATATAATACCTACACTTACCTTTTCTTTTCGTATTTCAAAATCATGAAATCTCTAATTTTATGTTCGTCTTTGGTGTCAGGAAAAGGACTGATCTTAGCATCATAAAGACCCAGCCAAACAGCTCCACAATACTAGAAAAAAGGAAAAAGGGAATAAAATTATAGGGCAAATTTTGACAAGTTTTCCTCATGCCTGAAACACATTAAAAAAATTACTCCTAAACCTATGACACCTATTTTTTGCTGGAAACTTCCCATCCTAAGAAGAGTGATTAGATGCAAAGATTTCTACAGACATTGAAAATACCGTACAGTACCTTCAAGTGTTCAATACCCTTAAGAAGAATATCTTAAGGGTATCACTTAATCTGAATCACTTGTCAGAGTATTCTACATGCAGGTTTGGATCTAATTAAAATAATGATGTCATCTTTAGCTCATTTGGCCATCACAGAAGTAAAGATGCTGCTAGTTTGACTAACACAAAAGTATCACAAAAAGTAAAAATGGTGTCATTTGTTAGTTTGACCATCATAAAACCAGTGTTGAATATAATGAAATGCCTTTTTCTTGGGGGGGGGGAGGGAGCTGCTTTGTGGCGCACCGACGCTATATTGCCGGTATAGCTACCCAATCCCTAGCCATATCAGTCACAGGCTTCTTATTGGACTACCAGATGCCAGAACCCAAACCTGGCTGCCTCGTAGAGGCACAGGAAACAGGGGATTGTTAGGGAGAAGGGAGGGAGGGGGTAGAGTCAGGGAGCCACCAGGGCTCACCCCAAAAACCAGCGTTGAATGTAATGAAACGCCATTTTCGATGGGATTTCCCCCCAGAAAACCAGAGTTGAATGTACTGAAATGCCATTTTCTGGGTGAGTCCCCAGAGGCTCCCAGGCATCCCTCACTCCCTCCAGTCGGCTGTGTTTTTTCGCGCGTTTTGACATCCAGCCTAAGAACTAGTGTTGGGTCGTCGGCACGAGGGGTCTGGGGGTCCCCCTTCCCCCTCCCAGGGAGGGGGGGGGGTTGTGCAGACAGCAGCGCGGCAACATGACAACGTCATGCTCGTTTGCTAATTTTCGTTTCGGGAGTTATGTCTACTTGTTCGGCTTTCGGTAGCAATTGTTTTACCAGATTAGGGGTTTGTTTTGGGGCGCCTACCTTTCTGGGTGCCTGTCCTGGTCGATGGCAGACATAGAATGCTCCCAACCACAGGGGTTTCTATAGGGCATTGCTCCTCGTGCCTCTCTGAGGGGGTCAGGTTCTGCCTCATAGTCCCCGGTAGATAAGAACTCCAAGCACACTGACTGATGCCAGAAAGTTATACATATCCATTCAGCCTGGATAGCTCTGGGGAGCCAATGGGACTCCCCCTAGAAAAGAAGCATTTCATTATATTCAATGCCAGTTTACTGGGAAAACCTGCTTGATGGCTCCCTGAAGCTAACAACAGAGAAGGAAAAAATGAACTTACTGAGGAGAGGGAGCAGCTACAGATTCAAAGAAACACTAGGCCAGAAAACCTGGCCCAGGGCTACAAACCCAAATGAGACAAGGGGCACTGATGAAATAGCTAGCTGCCAGAACCCTAATAGACCTCAAAAACCCCAGAGCCCAAATATCAGCCCATGATATTAGCAAAAATGGCAGCCAAAGCCTCGAACTTACGAACGTCATGCGCCTTAGGGTAGACCACAGGTTAGCTAGCTTCAATGACACTGGAGAATCTAGGACAAACATGCCTTGAAACAGGGAACTATGGAGACCAGATCAACAAACAGCACATCTACTGTAAAAAAAACTGGTGGAAAGCAGGTACCAACAAACTGCCGCCATTGGATACAACAAATGAGGCACACCTAGCCAGATAAATCAAGCATCAATTACCATGGGACCCCTTCACAAGCCAAGAATTTCATTCATTGCCAGAATCAAGTAGACAGCTGCAGGGAAAGAAACTGCCCACAAGGGCCAAACAACAGAACCCACACCTCCCGAGGAAAGCATAAATTCCCCAACCCGACAACTGGAGCTGAAAGCCAATAAAAACAATGCCTTAAGAGAAACATCTCAGAGTGAAGGGGCATCTGTGAATTGAGGGGAAGAAAAACATCAACACCTGATCTCAAGACCAAGAAGACTCACAGGAAACAGGAGCCAGTCAGACGTGGAAGAAAGCCAGAGACAACTTGTGAAATATATCGATGCCGAACACCAATGAAAGTGGTTCTGCCAAAGCTGCACTTTGGCAGAGGCGATTGTATTAGGCATGAGGTATTGAACAACCAGGATAAAATGGAAAGAACCACTGGAACTGACACTGAAACACAATGAAAAGAGAGGCAAAAAGAGAGCCATGGTACTTCATAATGTCAGTTACGAAAGACACAGGTGGGACACCAACAAATCAGACACCTACGCATCATATAAATTGGAGTCAACCTGTGTCAGAAACTTCAGAAGCATAGATCAGAGAAAATTGAACCTGCAACGTACGTCAGGCTGATCTACTGAAACGGGAGGAGCCGCAGAAAAATGCCCAGGTTCAGACAGATGGCTAGAAGAGCTAGAAACCAGGGATGAGTCTTCCACCAAGGGGCTAGAAAGATCACCTTGCCTGAGTACATCTCCAACCTGGACAGCATCTGGAGCAGCAGCTGAACCAGGGAAAATTGGTAAATGAACTCCCACCTCGACCAGTCCAGCTGAATGGCATATATCACGAGAGCTTCATGATACTGTACATGGTAATGGCTTCCCTCCTACATAGTTCTATCAGTTCCAAGCGAACACTAAGAGGTCCACCTCAGAGCAATCAAATTTTTGCAGAGTCAATGAAAGGATGCACCATTGATGGTCCACTCAACAGAAATGGGCCAAAAATGAGATAAGCCATCTGCAAGAATGTTGGACATGCCCTACACATGAAATGCATGGAAAACCAAATGTTGAGGAGCTAGAAGCCAAGCTACCTGAAGATTCCAGCTCAAAATAGGGAAGAAGCAAAGCACACCCCTCCCCTGCAATTCAGAGAATGATCCCCGGGGAGCAGTCGAAATGGGGACGGAGCCCAGAGAAAGATGAATCCTCCACAAGGCTTGCCACACTGCTCATGGGAGGCATGGTGCATGCTGGTCACAAAGCCCCAACCCAGAGATAAGGAATCTGTGATCACGTCGAGCGACGGGGGAGGAAAATGCCACGAAGCTGAACCCTGAAAAATCCGAAAAGCAAGGAAGCAAGAGCCGACAAAGGGTAAGCAGAGCCCAAACCTAACAGTCTTGGTGATACAAAAAAGGAGCAGAACTGGAGAAACCAGTACAATGCCCAGAGCCAAACCCTGACCAGAAAAAAATACTATGCCAGCGAAGTTCAGACTCCCACACAAACGTTCAGCCAAACAACGAGTCACCTGGGCTGATCCTACACCAGACAACAATGCTGCAGGAGGCAGAGCACAGCTGCAGGAGGCAGGGGAAGAGAGATGTTGAATGTCCTAAATGAGGCCCAACTAGGTTTAACCGAGACAAAATCAACTGGGACTTTAGCCAATTTACATGGAACCTGAATCTGGCAAGCTGGGAAAGAACAAAATTCCTGGTCAGCTGACACATGGACTAAACTAGCCAGTTGTCAAGATAGGCAAGAACCTGAACCCCCAATAGACACAGCTAGGTCACAACTACCCATGCTAACCTGGTAAAGATCCGATGAGCTAGATTCAAGCCAAACCAGCAGAACCTTGAAGTGATAAACTTGATACCCCACTAGAAACCCAAACCAGTCTTTGGATGAATAGGAGCGTGCCAGTACACATCCTGAGATCCAGGGACACCATTCAGGAATTTGTCTGTAAAAACCAAGCAAACATGAGCTAAAGTGGTCATGCAGGTCAGACAGGAAAAGAAGCTGCTCAAACCTGAAAAATAAAGTATGTACAGTATTGTAGGTACCCCCTAAGTCCTGCTTGGGGACTGAGCAGGACACCCACCGAAGGGAGGAGATCAATTCTACCACACTCAAGTCCAACCACATCACCACAACTGAATGGAGCTGTGGGGAGGGCACTCAACATCCCGACACTAAAAGAGGGGGTAAGGGTGACCCAACGCCACTGAAGGCCTTGGAAAAGAACCTGGAAAGCCTACGAATTGTGGGACCTGGATCCCACAGGATCAGACGTCCCCCCACCTACTCATCAAAGCAGCAAACTGCAAAAGGGCCAGTGTGAAAACCAATAAGTAGACCAATGTTCCAGAACATGTAATGTGGCATTGAGCAGAGAAGGAATCAGCTGAAGGAAGCACAAGAGTCTGGAAATGCGACTCTACTAGAGGCCAACCTCGACCAACAGCAGGCTAGGCCCTAATCTGACTAGACTGCCTCCAAGCGGAGAAGTCAGAACCGCCCCCCTACAAAAGTAATTGAGGGGGACGAAAAGCAGCAGCCACAGCTGATAACAGCTTCCTTAGGAAGGAGAACAGATAAAAAGGGGTAGGCAGACAAAAGAGGTTAAGGACCAGGTCAAATCTGAAGACTGAGGTGGCAAAACCTGCAGACAAGCTAGACAGGCCAAGTAAAATGCCTGCATCACCTCCCAAAGAGGGGGATGGGGTGAGCAGCTTGGGCAGTGCTGCCAAAGCTAGAACTGCAAGAAGAAAGGCAGTCACACCAAAGACAAACATAGGAACATCTAAGACTATCATGGAGCTTATCTAAGAACAGCTCAATAACCACTCAGATGTACATCACAGATGCTCAGTAGGTATGAGCCCCAAAATCCTCAGTATTGAGGGCTCCAGTGAACACAGGCAGCTGTACATGAAGCTGCCACTTGACCACATCCTTGGAGAGCACTGGAGCAAACAAGCAGCTCCTAAGCAGTGCAAAGCAACATCTAAGAACACCCGAGAGATGGAACTCATTTCCTCCCAACCAAGCCCTGCCCAGCCCGAAGGAAAGAAGGTGGATTGTCAGAAAGCAGAAACAAATAAAGGACCTCATACCTAAGCCAAAAAATTGAAGCCGAACCAAACTCGAAAGAGGATGTGTCCATTAGGGAAGCAAGGTTCAAGTCCTGCAAGAGGAACGGAAAAATGTCCGCCCATGCTGACGAAGACAAAAGGCAGGATGATGCAAATCTCCAGGAAGACAATTCTATAGAATTGAACAGCATGCAAAAGTACACCCTTGAAATAAGGGTGCAAAAAGATGAGCCAATAGGAGAAATGCTCCCATGAGCAAAAGACCTTGCTTGGATAGAACCGAATAGTATGAGCAGTGGAAGGGCACACACGAACACCGCAATGGGTCCCCCTAGCTCTGGGGAAGATGGGCCAGCCATGATATTCCCAGAGCAGAACCATATTCCACCCAATGCCTGGTACAGATAGGAATCGTCCAACAGAGCAGGATCAGAGCCAGATAATTATTGTGACGGTGAAGGCTCTACATCCCCAGTGGGAAGGTATGGCTCAAATGTATCTGCTGTAAAAGTGGACGATGCAACTCCTGAAGTTGGCCAAACTATGTTAACTGCTAAACCCCTGACCTGACTGAAATTTTCAGATGTTTAAGAGCCTTAACCAAGAGGAAAAACCAGACACTGGGCACACCACACCAGCAGGGAAAAGGAAGAGGAGCAAACTTAGACCAGGTGGAATTCATCTTCTCCTCCAAAACTTAATCCCTAAACACCAAAGGGCCCAAACTCCTGGGTGTCCAAATGAGCAACTTGCCACAAACAAGAAAAGCAGAGAAAATCAGCCCACAAAGTGGGAGCTGCCCGAAAAGTCTCCTGTTCTGAGGTAGACACCCAGCAAGCACAAATGTCACAACTTTAGACCAAAAGATTCATCAACCCAATAGGCAAATGGGTAGACACAGACAGAATGATTGTCAGCAAGTAGCAAAGCATGTGAACACCCCCTCAAACTCGCATGTAGCGAGAGGAGGCTCAATGGGCCACGCCGCACTATGCAGGGGAGCTACCTGAAGGCAGATAACCAAAGTGGAGGCTCAATCACTAGGGACGTTTGGTAAAAAAAAAAAAAAAAAACACCAAGAGCAAACTATAGGATAAATTTGGTTATTAGGGATGCCCGCAGTGTGCCATAACATTCACATTCACCTTAATGCACCTCACAAACCAAAAACAGAATGACCCCAACTACAAGGTTTTGCAGTGGAATCAAAAGACGCATGCATTACTGAGGGCAAAGCTCTCCACCTCAGTGGCCTGACCTTTCACAGATGAACTCCTGAACACACCAGAGAAGGCAACTCTGGCCATGCAAGGGCAATACTAAAGGAGCACCTTAGTAAAGAAGCCCTAGGCACGTGAGGCCTCAAGCACAGATAATGCCAAGTTCAGTCAACAGAGTGGCTTGAAAACCCACTCGAGACAAAACACCAAATACTAGGAAAGATGTGTTACCAAAATACGCCCACAGGATGGAGTCCTAAAGATGGGCAACATTTATCATAGAAAAAAAGCAGAGCTTGGATGACTGTCAAGCTAGGGACGGGGAGAAATTAACTTTCGCACATCAGTAATAAGACTGAACGTGGGTTATGAGATGCCAGCTTGACCGTCGGATGGCAGCTTGGCACATGCACGCTGGGATAGTTCTTTTGTATCCTGTTTCATATGAACCATTTTGTTTTGACTTATTCTTTTACAGTGTCTGTTTGCTGTTTTGGTGCTTTGTTTTCATGAATCAAACAGTTGTTTTGTCTGCTTTCTGGGTGCTTTCTTGGTCAGGGTGATTGTAACAAATGCATTGCTCTCTGTGCCTTTTTGTTGAAGCCAGATTCTGGCCCTAGACTCTAGTAGGCCAACAAGACTCCTATGACTGATATGACTAAATACTGATAAGGTATACTGACAACATAGCTAGAAATAGCCACCACGGGGCTCCCCCAGAAATTGCCTATTTGACTATTACAGTACAATGCAGTCATCAACTCATAATTGATTATCATAGATATAAAGCTATCATGAATGCAAAGCTATCAATTTGATATCTAGCTGTCATAAAAAAGTAAGTCATCACTTGCTTGCTGTCTATTCTTGCCTTCATAAGTAGCTACTTATTATCTTCCTTTCATGTTCTCACCATCAAATATTCCTGTACCCTTCACACTGTAATTACTGTACTTCATACTGGTGTTCTCTTACATTTTCCTCATAAAGCCTCTAACTTTCAGAGATCTAATACATTTTCCTGCATATTCCAATACTCCTGCTTTTTCCAGTGTTTCCATAGCAATCCTCATCTCTCCTTTGTCTCACCATTTTAGTTGCTGTGCTGTTTAGCCATAATCTACAATTTAGCATGGTATCATAAAGGTTTGAATTCACTAGTGCTGTCTACAACTGCCACCTGTACTCTTTGCTCCTGAAAGTACTGTACTCAAAAAATATAGCTCACTGCAGTTGTATACAACACAATTTACATATACACATGACAACTTGATAATTTACCTGGTTCCCCTTTGATTTTATTTGTTCAATTTCCTCCTGTGTGAAACTGGCCATGGAGATGGACTTGACACGATGAGGAGGGTTTAACCCACGGCTGAAACAGAGAATTAAGCAGTTTTTATAAAGGTCTTTTAAATTTGTGTATACCGTATTACAGTATACAGAGAACCTCAAAAACCTGGATTATATTATTCCAAACCCAATCCACATTTGCTGGAAATCTGGATTTTCCTAAATCTGTCCATTCTTTGGTTATTAACTGCCAAAATTTATAGTTTTATCTTATGGAAAGCTAAACATATTAAAACATGTATATATTGCCAGTTGCTGACATTGGGGTTGCTAATAGAAAGTCACCTGCATGGGGAGCTACTACAGCTCTAAGTCGAGCAGTGTTATGTGGTGTTGTCGCAGCTCTAGCAAAGTTGCAGCTTGTTGGTCGGCAATGGGGCATACAGAATATACACAGATAATACATAAACAATAACTTTGGTAGATTGTATTATTTGTAATGTAATAATGTAAAAAAAAAAAAAAAATCCCCATTCACCCCCCCCCTCCCCCTTCCTGGACGACACTGTATGAATGTGACGACAGACATGCCCCGCCATCAACATAATCCACTTATGGTGTTAAGTATTGTATTCATTTATTTTCCTTACATTTTGTATATATATTTTGGATTAATTTTAATGTACTGTATTTCTTCTTGATTTATGTTTGGGTAGCTCTGATAAATTAATGTTACCAATACTGTATTTTTGTTCATCAAAAGGAAATGTTTTACAATATAGAAAGGAAAAAGAATCGTTTGGATTATTTATGCACACCAGGAAATTGAACTAATTTAGGGTGGCAGTTTGGAGATCAATTGAATATTTATGAGGCAATAAGGTTTTTGAGGTACTGTATACCTGTGGGAAACTGGTTACAGTACTCTGAAAATTAGCTTTAACTGAACTTGAAACACCACTGCATCTTTGGTGAGAATCAGAGCCTCAGGACCGTGGGATTGCCATACAGACCTATACAGATGAGGATAACAGAGGAAATTTTAAATAACAGTAACATTAAACGATGGTGTCTGCATGAGTGGTGGCAGTAACTCTGAATCAGGTATGCACATTAATGTTGCAAAAGCAGCCAGGAAACATGACATCACATATATTATTATGTATGTCACGCACCTAGGATGTGACAGTCCACACAGTGGGCTAGAAATTCCACTAATAGAATACTAGTGATAACTCATTTCTGTTAGGATGGTGTACAGTAAATAATAAAAAAGACTTCAAATAAATCTAATACAAAAAAATATACAAAATATTGAGGACAATGATATATTGCAGCTGGCTACAGCCTATTTGGACTTCACCCCTGATATATTTATTCTTAACACAAATCTGACCTAAGAACATAGGAATAAAGATAACTGCAGAAGGCCTATTAACCCAAACGAGGCAGCTCCTATTTATAACCACCCTATCCCATTCATATACATGTCCCATGCTTGAAACGATCAAGGGACCCCACCTCCACCACGTTACGCGACAACTGGTTCCACAAATTAACAACAATGTTCCCGAACCAGTACATACCCAAATCTTTCCTAAATCTATATTTATCAAATTTATACCCATTGTTTCGTGTTCTGTCCTGTGTTGATACTTTTAATACTCTATTAATATCCCCCTTTGTTATGTCCATTCATCCACTTGTACACCTCTAACTCTTCGTCTTTCCAGCGAATGTAATTTAAGCTTTGTCAATCTTTCTTCATATGACAGGGTTCTTATTTGCGGGATTAACTTTGTCATCCTACACTGGACGTGTTCTGGTGAATTATATCCATTCTACAGTACAGCGACCAAAACTGAACTGCATAATCTAAATGGGGCCTAACCAGAGTAAAATATAGCCGTGGAACACCACCAGGTGTCTTATTAGTAATGCTTCGATTAATAAATCCCAGTGTCCTATTTGCCTTACTACGAACATTTATGCATTGCTTTTATGGTTTTAAATTCTTACTAATCATAACTCCCAGATCCCCTTTCCCAATCCGACTTCACAATCTCAACACCATCTAGCTCTTATCTTGTAACTACTGTATATCATTACCTAGCCTCAAAACCTTACTTTTGTCAGCATTAAACTGCATCTGCCAATCTTTTGACCATTTCAAAACCCTATTTAGATAGTCTTGAAGTGATAAGAATCTTTTTCCATGTTTATTTCCCTCCCGATTTTTGTATCATCAGCAAATTTGCAAATATTGCTACTCAAACCTGAATCTAAATCATTTATATATACTGTATTACGAATAACAGAGGTCCCAGGACAGAGCCTTGAGGCACTCTACTTACAACATTTTCCCACTCTGACTTAACCCCATTTATACTAACTCTTTGTTTCCTTTGGTATAGCCATTCCCTAATCCAACTTAACATAGTACCCCCAATACCGTGAGCCTCTATCTTTTTAATCAGTCTTTCATGTGGGACTGTGTCAAAAGCTTTGCTAAAGTCCAGGTACACAATATCACAAACCTTACCACTATCAACTACCTCAATGATGCTGGAGTAAAATGATAGCAAATTTGTTAAGCATGAACGGCCTTTTGTAAAACCATGTTGTGAATCCTTTATTAATTTATGTTTTTCAAGATGAAGACGAATGGTATTTGCAATTGTCGATTCAAGTATCCTTCCCACAATAGACATTAAGCTAACGGGCTGATAGTTTGACTCAAGTGATCTATCTCTTTTCTTTAAAATTGGAACCACATTAGCAACCTTCCACGACTCTGGCACTCTGCCTGACTCTAATGATTTAACACTTTAGTCCAGGCATGACATAGCATTGCGTCATCTGTTTACTCTCGGTAATTTCGGGAATGACACAATGCTGCGTCGTCCACTAAAATAATTGCCAAAAATCATGTTTTTATCCGATTTTGGGGGGACTGTTTGGTAACTCAACAAGCTGAATGCAATCTGTGACTACAATACAAACATGAAAGGTGTTGATCACTTTGACCAAATGATCAAATATTATCACTTCATAAGGAAAACTCACAAATGGACGAAGAAAATGACCTTCTATTTTGTGCAAATGGTTATCTACAATGCTTATGTGATGTACAACTACTACACAAAAAATACTAAACTATAATACTAAATATACTAAAATACTAAATACTAAACATTTGTGGGCAGGAATTGGGAGAGTAGCTGGAAGGCGTCTGGGCGCTTACTCGCGGTTAACGAGTGGCCCGTCTTCAACTCGTCGGCGGGTGGAGCGTGACCAGGTTTTTTATTTTATATGCTAATATTCCTCTAGAGGAATTCTATTGCGAACCCATTGATACCAAAATGAAAGACTTAGGACGAAAATTGAGGTGACCAGAGTGAAAAGAGTGAACACATTTTATCGCTTTTGCGTGCTCCTGGGTAACTCGTTCGCACTTTCTCTGTTTGCTGCGGGTAATTAGCCGGGCTTTTGGAGTTTATATGCATTTAGTGCTGTAGAGAATTCTATTGCGAACACAATGATACCAAATTTAATCTCGTAGGACGAGAATTGAGGTGACAAAGTTGAAGAGAGTGCAGAGTTTCTTTCACCCTATGCCCCTGTTACCTAGCAGTATACACTTTTCAGAATTAACGAGCGCTCCCGTGAAACGCTGGGACCCAAATCGCACAGTTGAGGGGTGGCGGGCGGGGCATGCCAAAGTGTTAAATATGGTAGCCAATGGCTCACAAGACTCCTCTTTGCGTTCCTTAAGCACCCTGGAAACACTTCGTCTGGCCCTGGGGATTTGTTTGGCTTGAGTTTCATTATTTGTTTAATAAGATCCTCCCTGGTAACTGCTAAACTAGTCAACCTGTCCTCTTCCCCACCCACATAGACTTGTTCGGCTGAAGGCATAATGTTAAGTTCCTCTTTAGTAAATATTGTAGAGATAAAATATTTATTAAAAATACTACTCATCTCTGCATCATTATCGATTATCTGACCTGTCTCAGTTTTTAATGGACCTATACTTTCCCTAATCTTTGTTCGAAATAACTTAAAAACCCATTAGGATTTGTCTTTTCTTGCCCTGCTATGCGAACTTCATAGTTTCTATTTTGCCCTCCTTATCTCTTTTTTTAATATTTCTAGCCAGTGGGACGAATTCTTGTTCTAAACTTACTTCCCCATTCTTAATCATTTTGTATCAAGCTCTCTTTCTACCTGTAAGGTTCTTCAGATCCTGTGTTATCCATTTCAGGTCATTATTATTCAATCTATTCAATTTGTATGGTATACTACGTTCCTGTGCTTTGCTTAGGATATTTTTAAATAAGTTATGACCTGTGATGCATGTCAGTAAAATACCACAATAAATAAAGAGCTCATATGGCAGAGACTATAAAATGCTATAATACTGTACATCCATTTTATTTATCTCTTTCTTTATCTTTCCTCAAATCGATAAATGCAAAAGTAAATTTAACAAATTACCTGTAACTCTCATTCTTTATAAATACAGTACATATAGTATAGTATAGTATAGTATAGTATAGTATAGTATAGTATAGTATAGTATACTTCAAGCAATTGATAGTGGTACACATTAATATTCTATATCTTGACTTTATGAGAGCACTTGCTACTATGCCTCAAGACTAAAAAAAATTAGTGACACATAGTACTGAGGAGTTAATCTAAGTGCACTCCAGGGCTCTGTCCTGAGACCTCTGTTATCATGTATATAAATAAATTAAGAAAGGATTGAACAGTAACATTTGTAAATGATACAAAAATGGGGGTTGTGATCAATTTAGATAAAGATAAAACTGCTAAAAGATGATCTAGATGGCCTTTAAAAAAGGAAAGATTGGTAGATGCAGTATAATGCTGAAAAATAAATTCATATAATAATAATAGTTACTAGATATCAGCTGAACAATGTTGAAATTGTGAAATCAGAATGCAAGAAAGATCTAGGAGTCATGATTAGTAGAAATTTAAGCCAATTAATAATAGTACAAATGTACAGAATAAAGCAAATAGGATATGTACTGGAATTTATTTCTAATGCATAGCTATAAGACATCTTAATATTATTCTTCAGCTTTATCTTGCCCATGTTTGGCCCCATTTAGATAAATGCAGTTCAGTTTTATCTCCATACTACAGAATGGACAAGCTCACTTTCAGGGCACACGTGAACAGAGAAGGAAGACAAAGTCAATCATAAGAAATGGATAAAACCTTCATGAAGACATTAAAAAGTTCAATTTACCTTCTCTAAACAGATGAATAGTAAGGGGGTGACATGATTGAAATACAATATATGATGAATAAATAGATGCTATTAACAAAGGGGGTATAAATAAAGTCCATAGTAACACAAAATAGAACTTGAAACAATGGATATAAATGGGAGAAATTTAGATTCAGAAAAGACCTGGGTAAATACGGGTTTGGAAACAGGGTTGTTGATTTCTGAAACAAATCACCAGATAACATAATACAGATGGGATTGCTAGATTGTTTTTTGCAGTAAACGTTATTCCTATATTCTTCTTATATATGGTTAATACAATTAGAAAATTAAATTTGTTGAAATAACTGTATACAATTTGAATGCATCCAATACCAGGACCAGCTCCTCACATTCCAGTCGCACTTTGAACCTAATTCCAACCCCTGACCTTCCTACCATACTTGGACCCTAGTTCCAGCCCCTCACATTCTAGCTACACCTTGTCGTCCCAGCCCCCCTCAACTTCTAGCCACACCTGGACTATAGTTCTAACATCTCGCTTCAGCTATAACGGGACCCGAGTTCCAGCTACATCTCGACCCTCGTTCCATTACCCTCTTGGTAGTATCACTTGGTAGTACTACCCTCTTGGTAGTATTACCTGCCTAAATACTATGTGTGTTAGTGGCTTTGCAAGAATGTAAAAATACCAATCTTATGTAATATCACAAACCCATTGTACCTTCTTGTAAATACAGATTATTATTATTATTATTAATTTTGGCCTTAATGTTGTTTTAGTTTTTAAAAGTTGCAACTTCCCTGCTGTCTCTTCCATCAATAGTGTAATTTGCACACACTTAATTTTAATAATTCATTGTGTTGGGGGACAGGCAGCCAGTGTATTTATACATGTTAGGCTTATATCAGGGGTTTCTCCCCCCCCCCAGGCACTAATTACTGACCCTTGCCAAGAAGCAACCACACAACAAGCTGACAAACTCCTGGATATCTACTTATTGTTAGGTGGACAGGGGCATTAGGTGATAGGAATACTTATCTTGTATAAAATAAAAACTTAAAAAAATACAGAAGTACTGTTAAATAATTATTTGGGAACTTGTCTACCACAAATCATCACTAATGCCTCCATTTCATTCACCTGCGCAGTATGGGTCACGAACCGTTTTAAAGCGTTTTACTAATGCCTCCAATTGGCCTTGCATGGGCATTATACTGTACATAGAACCATACTGGTTACAGACAATGTACACAAATAGAAGTTGGTATCCAGTGTAAATGACAAACTACACGACCTTGACGACACACGAAAACCCACTCGATTCAGTCTAGCACTTGACAACACCGACATCACATTACCACCGCAGGAGCGGGCACGGCACGCTGTTAGCAACCCGGCTCGATTCTCCTCGCCTATACTTTCCGCGACCCAAACATTAAGGTACTGGGTGCAAGACCCATAGACCTGCTTGAAGACATTGAGAAAATAATCCCAAGCAATCACCCTTTCACTAAAACGATCCAGCAAAGTAGTAATGATGGTGTAGGCCTTACCTAGGAGGTATGGCTCTTACACTGGGACATGAAAATGATAACATTATTCCTAGAAAAATGATGAAATTTATACCACTATTTTCCTACACAGTTTACCCCCTGGGGCATGGGGCACCAATTTCCTCCACAACATACCTATGCCCACGCTTAACACACGCTACCCATATAATGCCCCTACACACACACCACATTAGGACAAATAAAGACCTATTCATGCCACGGGAAAAAGGTGGCAGTAAGGAGGTGAGGAGGCTCAAGAAGAGTGGTGAAGGAGCAGGCTACTTACAGGCTGCCGGAGCAGGAGGTACAGACGAAGGAGCCCACAGTCATGTTGATGTAGGTCGTCCCTCTCTGGTGGCAGTCGAAGCATGTCCTATTAGCAGCCAGGGAACCCAATTCTCGCAAGGTTTTCAGGTTCTTCTCATCCTGTTTCCTTCTGCTCGAAGCCATGTTTGGTGGGTCTGCGCTCCCGAGAGGGAGAGCGCAGTCTTCCACAACACCCGGCTCTCTCACCCACCTTCTTAATATTAATATTTACAACCATAAACCTCCTCTAATTACTCGCTTTTGTAATAATATTTTTTCAGCTAGGGGTTTAAATATAAATTTTGAATATGTATATATTTAGCATCCTTTATATCTAACAACACGTAAATTATGAGCCTAGTTACAGCATGCTATATATATACAGTTTATATAGAACTATACACTGTAATTATATATATAATTAAATAATTCATATACAGTACATTATATATATATATATATATATATATATATATATATATATATATATATATATATATATATATATATATATATATATATATATATATATATATATATATATATATATATATACATACATACATATACACACATATAAATAAACTGAAATCATCATAAAAAGTATATACAAAATAATAAAACAAAACATATATATATATATATATATATAATATATATATATGTTTTGTTTTATATTTTGTATATACTTTTTATGATGATTTCAGTTTATTTTATATGTGTGTATATGTATGTATGTATGTATATATATATATATATATATATATATATATATATATATATATATATATATATATATATATATATGGGTTCCGTAGTATATCATCCATATATCTAGAATCTGTCTTTTGCACTAGCTCCCCTCATATGTCAGTTGCTTAATTTAGAAACTACACTTGTGATCAATCTTGAGCCCAATGCTGATGTGACGATGTGTATTGAATTTTGTAACTAGCTCATCAAGACTGTAACTTGCTTAGCTAAATGAATTATGGGGTTCAGTCCCTGAGCCCATTATGTGCCTCTGTAACCCTTTCCACTACCGCCCACAACATGGGTATGGGGTGCATAATAAATGAACTTAACTTTAAAAAAAAAAACTATCAAAGTTTTTATCTTGCCCTTGTGATACTCAGTACCTTGATTAGGCAAATCTAAGCCCAGTAATACATACTACAGCTATATATTATCAGTGTACAATCTCTGAAAAGTATATAACAAATGATACTTTACTTTTCCTTGTGAAGAGAGACTTAGAAAACTAAATTTACTCACTAGAATGGTGCGTAGAGTGTACGCATTTAAAGGGGTACATTACTGCACCCTGGGCAGGGAGGCTTGGCTTGGCACAGGGCCTCATCTGTCCTACCCACATACCCCCCCCCCTACCCCAGTAATTGTGGGGGATTGTAAACCCATTTGTGGGATCATGTCCCAGGGAAACCTAGAAGGGCATCAGGCTTTAGATGAGCTATGTGAAAGAGAAGCTCGACTGAAAGCCTCCTCACAGAAAGCACAAGTCGATTACCTTATTAAATATCTTATCTTATCTTATCTTATCTATCCATGTTTCCATCTGTGTCAAATAAGACTAAATTGTACTGTACAGATGAGTGAATGGGTTTAACAAGACAATGTGCTTAAACATTATTAATTAATTAAATTAATAAATAAATGCAATAAGTATACAGTAGTTCTAAAAAGGCAAAATCTTTTTGCTATACAGTTTCACCTGCTGCTGTAGTTCTAATATGAGGGCTTGTAAAATTGAATTGACGACACACTATAGAGACTATATTTTCATTATCGATAAATTTACAAAAAATTAAGATAATGGAAATTTGATAATAACTAGATCAGATATAAGGTTTGTGATATAGTTACCAATAAAACTGACTATTGTAATAAAGTTATAATAACTTCTATATTTCTAAATTTAAACTGTTAAAGTGAATATAATTATGCAATAATAAATATAATTAGTTTTGTAAAGGATACAGGCAGCCTGTATATATATACATATACATAATTTATGTCATCATGGACAAGAAGCCTGTGTATAGTGTTAACGAGGCCCCCCCAAAGCTAACTATAATGACCTAGCTCCAGGCTGCATTCCACAACAGTTGCCTAACTCCTGGGGAATTAGCTGCACTAGGTGAACAGAGACATGAGGTGAAAGGAAATGTGCCTAATCGTTTCTTGTCTTGTCCTGGGATTGGCTCCTGACTGAGCAGGATAAAACATGGTGAAGAAAGCTGCGGACGTTTATACATGATAATGCTGCGAGGTTTTCCATCCTGTCTTCGAACCTCATATATCCGTCCAAGTCAACAGTTCAAAACACAGCTTGAGGAAAGCAAGAAGAATGAGAAGGCCTGTGTTTCACAGGCTTGATGTTGTTATAGATTCAGCTACTCAGAACAAGTTCCAAGTAGCACGGGCTATGGTGAGCCCGTAACTTACCTGGCACAGTAGCGGTGCAAGAAGCACAGGCTATGGTGAGCCCGTAGTGGACTTACCTGGCACAGGAGCGGTGCCGTCTCCAGGCTTGATCTGGCCCTGCCTGTATGTAGTCTACGAGGTACCCGGCGCTGCCCGGGGTAGTCCGTCTCTCTCACCCCATCTTCCATTCCATTCCTCTTTTTTCCCCTCCCCACCTGTTCCCCTCCCCATTTTCCGTCCCTCTCTCTCTTTCCTTTCCCTTCTCACCCTCTTCCCTCCCATCTCCCACATTTTGCCCTTTTCCCTAGTCTTCCCTTCTCCCCATCCCTCTCCACCCCATATCTCTACCCTCCTCCCTCTCCCCTCTTTCCCCTTTTCTCTTCCCCTTCTTCCGTGTCTGGCCTCCAACCTGGAACAGACAGACATTTCTATTTATATATACAGAAGGGGTAACCGGCTGTACCCGGGTCTCTTCCCCAATTCCCCAATCTCCTTCTCCTATTTTGCCCCCTCATACCCTTTCCTTGGTCCCCCTTCTACCCTCCCATCGTCCTCCCCCCCTTCTCTCAGAAAATTAAAAAGCACTGAAACAATTGTATGAGTCTCTTAAGAAAATATATTACTTCGGTCCCTAAAATCTCTAGGGGAAACACACCATATATTTCACATTTATGCTCGACTGCATAAATGGATTCCACAAAAATCATATAGGGGTTTCTATAAATAATATGTCTTAAAGCACTTATCTTAGACTGATCCCGGCCTGTCCCGTACCACAGACCATTTCCCCTGCAAAGTTGGATGAGTGTCTGTCTGGCCTTCTGCTCTGGGCTGATAGACAGGCAAACAGACATTCTCCCTTATAGATATAGATAATACAATTCAACTACTTGACAACAGTATTTCATTGTGAAAGCTTGTAACTTAAAATTTACAAATTTCTTTTGTCCAAATTATTCTAAGGAATACAATAAATGTATTAGTTTTGGGTTGTTTTGGTAGTTTTGTGAATTATAAGTGCCGTTGTTATCTTTATTAATAATTGTGATTTTTCATGCATTGTGAGTTCAGTTGCAGTGTTGGTAGTCCATTTATAAGCTATAATCATAAGTATGTCAGTTTCTTCAGTTGTCAGCTATAAGATATTGTAAAACTGTATGAAAGTGGGCAGCAATCACCATGCAGGAGTCATCACAGAGCCAAGCCCTTTCCTGTGACTCGACATCTATAAGCTAACATATAAAATAAAATTGCGCATCTAAAATAATTGTTGTTTAATAATTTAATCATTGTACTTACAGTAATAATGTCCACGTAAACAATGACTTAGCAGAGGTGTAAACGGTACCAAGAGTGGGTCATGGGGTGAAGTAGTCGCGCGTTGAAGTAGCCGCGCGTTGAAGCGGTCGCTGGCGGTGTAATCGGTACGGTAGGTAGCAACTCCCGGTTCACACTTCCTCCGCTCACAGGATGGGTATGGGGTGCACAATAAACTAGCCACCTCCGGCGGCAACAATCAAAATCCTCCGTTACTGCCACTCCGCTAGTACATCAGTCTCTATGGTAAAAGGTTAAAGGAACTGAGTTAGGTAAAAGTTGGCATATATATATATATACTGAGAGATGTACTCAACTTTTCGGTGCATATACATCGAGACATTATTTTAGTGAACTATGTTCAGAACAAGTGTACAGAGTCATTGGTCAGTAAACTATCGTGGAGGACTTCAACCTTCCTGTGGTTGTGAAGCAGAACTGTACAGCACCAGCTGATTTAATTGTGTTTATTAGGCATCCGGAATATGCGTACCTGCGGCCGATATTGAAAGCGCTATATTGGCCCAAAATGGGCTCGGGAAGTGAATTCCAATGTTTCTACAGTTAATCAATTAAGTTGATGATTGTGAACTAGTCTTGGGAGCCGCCTCAACTTGGTCCAATGGCTTCATGGCTTCATTCTGACAAGCTTCCCAGAAGCTATGAATTCCAATATTTGCTGTCAAAACCACACTACAATATTTAAACAAAAAACTATATAGGAGGCGACACTCAAAACCCAGAAAGCACTGATATGAAGAATTATGGTATCTTTAGAAGTGGAAACTGTGTGAAAGGACAAGAATCCAACAGTCAGTGTGACACTGTAATTGGAAAAAATTAGGGTGAGAATTGTAAGTTAGTCTAGCTAACTAATAGTCTAACTATGTGAACGAGAACTAGGATACAATTGTCAAAACTATATATTGGTAAATACCACGTTAAAAATGAAATTTTACACCAAATGATATGATATACTTTGAAATTTGTAAGTCATTCACTCGCGGATATTGGAGGAAGCTATTCTCAGCGTACCCAAAGTTTACTAGTGCAGCCTAGTAAACTAGTGTCACAACTAGAGGTTTTTCTCGGATTCCATGACTTTTTTATTGTTGCCAACAGCGGCGGCTAGTTTATTATGCACCCTGTCTTGTCGATCATCCAGTGAGCGATAGTTTGTTATGTATCATATAGTCATCCTGTGAGTAGTAGTTTATTGTGTACCCCATTCTCATCCTGTAGAGCGGTACTGGTGCCATACCTATACCTAAAAGTATGCGGAAAAGGGGCACCATAGCTCAGGGCACCCACGGAAGGGATCACCATAAAGTACTCATGGAACTGTACTACCCACTGTTGAATTTTAAAATCCATCTTTAAAAAATCATTAGGACGAATGGGCAGACGAATGACAAGCCGGCGCCTTCCTGTCCTCGTCGAGGAC